TATATATATACATATACCCCCATGAACGGTATTTTTGCATAATTGTGTATCAAATAAAAAATTATGACGTTCATAGATTGTGTTACATTTTACGTATTGTTTTCGATATTTAAAACCTGTACTTAAAGTTATACGTAAAATTTTGCTTTTAAATTGACAAAAACTGGCGATTAAGTTAAAAATTGAGAGTTCTATCAACTTAATGTAAAGTTACATGTGACTTGATACACAGGTTTTCAATATCCAAATATTATATGCTATATTATAAACTAAAAACACAAAGGATTACATAGCAAAAATATTTTTAAAAGTAAGAATATATATTTTTTTAAGATGTACCTTCCCGTTTCTATAATTATAGTATAGATAAATTACATTCCCAATGTGCGTTTTTCCTTAATTTTTACACGTAGTCTTAAAAAATATTAAGAAAAGATTTTGGACAACTGTGTAGCAATCATTTGCAAAATGAATTCAATATTTTTTAAGAATTTAATTTTTGGCCAGCTTTAAGACCCATTCCCATAGATACAATTTATCCTTTACACCCCCTTTCTTTTTTATATTATTCCTCAATACCGATTATGACGTATTATGTCTTTTTAGTCATGTGACATGTTCCCTGTCTCCCCTTAAAATCTTGAACAATAATCACCAAGAACACATTACCTGTAATCAATCTACGCTTTTATATCTAACCCCCTCTATATTATCTATATTAAAATTTGTATTTGAATTTATCGAAGAAAAGTTGAAGACCATGCAGCAATCGAATTTATTTATAAATTCGGGACTTCTAAAATGCCACTGCTGACAACATAGCATAGCAATATATTGTTTGTACTGAATAAACCTATTAACAGACAAATGAGTGCAACATGGACTATTCAATACGTGCAATAGCCATAATAAAGAATTTTCAACTTAGTTTAAACAATAACAGGAGTCTTCGGAAACTCCTTTAGAACTTTCCTTTTTTACATAATATGGGCGAAATCATCGTGCCTATAAAACTTGAAATAAGATCAAATAAAACAGCTGTGCTTGACAAATAGGGTACACGACATTATTAATGTTTCCCCTTTTGACAAAGAGGAAACGAGAGTCATCGACACTTATGAATCAACTCTTGCAACTACGCCCAGAAACCAATATCTTGTATAATATATCAGTGTCCGCCTCTTTTTAAAGAACTAACCAAAGTTCTATTCGATCACTGTGTACTAGTGATAAGAGGGGTGTGTTGCAGTCTATATTTGTACTGTCCTGTCGTCGCATTGTACATATTGTCGTTAATGACAATTATTGGCTTTTTCTCTCGAAATAGAGACATGCATCTATAAGAGAGAAATTAAATTCTTAGTCTTATATTAAATGTACATTATAAATGTCGCATACATCATGTACATATTGATATTCAGTTTTAAAATTAAATAATACAAAATATATCTAATTACTTCATAAATCAGTTCAATATATTGCAGGAAATTTAACAGATGGAGAAAAAATTACAGCATTCAAGATCAAAGTCCATAAAACAATACGAAACAGGAGCAGAGCAAACAGGGACCTCCGAAACATCAGAGGTGGGATCAGGTGCCATGGAGGAGTGAGCATCCCCTGCTGACCGGTCATCCCACTGTGTGCTCCTAGACATGATCGGGAAATAACGGGAAAATCCGTCGTCAGTGTATAGTTAATGGACTAACAACTAGTATGAAAAACGTCAGTCAGTATTTGATACAATGATATATTGTATTTTCTGACAAGGTCATTGTATCAACCATAAGAATTACGAAATGATGCCTTTAATTCAAACTAGATATCCTAAATTCTTGTTTTATTAACTTGTTTGTCAATAGTTGACGATAGAAAAGATAAAGTCATCATGTCAACAAAACCTGGTTGTTAGATTACCATTAAGGTCTTTTTCAAGTAAGGTATACAAGTATGAAACAGAAGTGTCAGACTCTGAGTTATCTTTTATCTCAAGCTCTCCAGGATATATCGTATCAACATAAGAATGGAAATTTCAATTGTTAATTAACAATACGTCGTCGATATATATAAATGTCGAGTTGAAGGCTTTGTTTTCTTCTTTTAATTTCGTGCATAAGATTTTGCACAAATTCTTCTTCAAATGAATACAAAAATAGGTCTGCTAATAACAGGGCACAATTGGTACCCATTGGAATTCCAATAGATTGTAGGAAAACCTGGTCTCAAAAAACAATATACTAGATTTTGTAAACTTGAACGAAAAACATTACAGAATTAACCATTTATGTTTCATATATCTGGATGTTTTACTTACTAAGGGTGATAAATGTAATGATAAACAAGGATGATAAATGCAATGATAAATAAGGATGATAAATGCAATGATAAACATGGATGATAAATACAATGATAAATAAGGATGATAAATGCAATGATAAACATGGATGATAAATGCAATGATAAATAAGGATGATAAATGCAATGATAAACATGGATGATAAATGCAATGATAAATGAGGATGATAAATGCAATGATAAACAAGGATGATAAATGCAATGATAAACAAGGATGATAAATGCAATGATAAACAAGGATGATAAATGCAATGATAAACAAGGGTGATAAATGCAATGACAAACAAGGATGATAAATGCAATTAAACTAACAAGTAAATAATTTGACTAATGAGATGACTTACGCTTTTTATTGTCAACTTTCCTTATTTCTGTAGTAATATCTTATTATGACTTACAAATGGTGTTAACATCACCCAACTTATTCGATACTCACGAACATGTTCCGAGTGCGATCAAATTTCAAACCGAAACAAGCTACTGACAGATAAGGTGGTGATACAGGAATTTCAATATTGCAACAACCTTGTTAATAAGTCAGCGTTTCGTAAATTCTGTGTTCTTTATAAAAAAAACTATAACCTGTCACTGGTTTGTATGTTGGCTGATTGAGTTTTCCATATTCCAATTGTTAGGCCTTTGTTTTATACTGAATGTGATTACGGAAGTGACTGCTCCCTCTATCTGATCTATACTTAGGGCTGTGACAAGTCAGGGGAGGATGCTTACTCCTCCTGGGCACCTGATCCCACTTCTGGAATTTCCAGGGGGGGGGGGGTGCCCTCTTAAAATATTTGAATTGTTTTTAGATTTTTGAGATCGCGACCACTGTTCTTAATGTTCATATTTCTCACTTTAAAATATAATGTTTTGAATTATAAGGACAGGCACTTGTTTCTGTGATATATTTTTCAACCATCTGTATAATTATAACACTTATTAATAATATTATCTAACTTTGTGTTTTGTAGGAGTTTATATCTTTTGCGATAGGATAAATAGTTATGTAATATATATCATCAATTGCCTGTGAACAAGCAATTAAATTTTAACACTGAAGTAGACCAAAGAAAATCAACCTCAAATACAACTGTAGGTACTATAAAATTCCATTGACTGACGATATTTTAGTTGTATGTAATTAAAAGGAAGAACCTACATCAATAGGTTTTAACATGTTGCCTAAAAAGGGATGTTTTTTAGGGTAACAACCATTATAAGAACTTCCCCGTGTTTTACCATTTGCTATGTTTATTGAGAACTCTGACCTTTTTATGTAGGTCTATCGGTTGGCACTGGCATGTCTGCAGTCTTGAATAGAATTACTAAGAACTCAAATATTAAAAAACTCAACATAATGTAATTGCATACCGGTCCCAGATCACGTTTATCTGTATGGTTAAGGATGACAATCCTTTATTGAAAATTATAACTTTTAAAAATGTCTCAATAACTTAAGGAATGTAAATCAACAAACAAAATGGAATGCAAATATATCAAAGCAAGGTAATTTTAAACTGAATTCGAAAGCTAAAACAATGCACTGTTCTCATGTACATACTGAAACTGAAAGTACAGTCAGTGGGGTTTCTATTTAATCTTTTTATTTGTTTACCTCGGTCGAGATATGTGAAACTTGGGTTAATTTTTCAATTTCCAAAAAAAGGGATGAGAAAGTGAAATTGGTGAGTTGTCCCTCCTCTTTTCCATTAAAAACCCGTAACGGTTACTCGATATTGACAAAACCTACACAAAATTTCAAATTACGTAACTATCGCTATAAAAGAATTCTTGTGGACAATATATTGAAGTATGAGTCACCGATTTTGAACAATAGCCTTATATTTTCAAAGACATGAATAGATTCTTATCAGCTGTGAAATGGACTTCATCAGTGATTCAAGTACAGTAATAAACGACAAAGTACTAAAACAATGTATGCTACATAAAGTTAAGGATGCATGTACGAGTCACAATATCCGGAGTCAGTCAAATTTGTCCTTAAACCCTACTTAAATTCTTTTTAAAGTAAATACTTTTTTTATTATCAAAATTTTATATTTAGAAAATGTTTTAATCTTAAACCCATTTCAAGGAGGAAATTGAAACACATTTTCGTACTATTTTTTTTTTTATTTTTAATAACAGGTTTATTAACAATATTACATAAAACAAAGATACAGCAAAGTAATGCACTTTAAATTTCACATTAATTTATCAAACCTACTGTCAAACAAGTATAATTGAAATAGAATATTTTACATCATTGTATTAAAGTGATATGATACACATAAAAATTGCTAAACATACAAAAATTACGCATTAAGACAAATATGTTTACTTAGAACTTTCGGTTTTAACATAAAACCTTAGTTATTTCAACATGAAACACAAAAGAAAATAAAAATACAGAGCAAACATTGAAACTTGGAAAGGCTGACATCTAGAAAGACTGGCAAAATTAATGAATAATTAAACATCATTGTAATTAAATATTGTTGTATATGTACATCTAATTTCTCATAATTGGAAAAGGAGATATTTGAATTCTACTACTCTGTAATGTGATTAGGGATCAATACCTTGAAAATAAACTCATTAATAATATATGAACTCATTAATATTCATGTAGCAATGCTTAAATCTTTTACTAAAATTTAGAGGTAACAGTTTTCAAATCACTCATGCATACATCCTAACCCATTCCAAAGGCTGCAGGCATCAAATGAATACACCAATTCATACAATTATAAGTTTGTATACAATTTTGTATATCACATTTGATCTACATGTAAAATCCATTCTGGACACAGAATTATACCTAACATCTTTGTTTTCCTTCACTATAGATCTTTCAGAGCCGCTAATTGTTTTTCTATGTCATCATCTGTAACCCGAGACTTAGAAGTTTCCCCGAGGCCGCGACTTGGAGCAGCAGGTGCACTCACCATCTGTTAATACATTTATTCATTAATTTTCTTTCATGTCAATTCAAGTGGATATGTTAATAAAAAATATAATGACATGCAAAAGAAACACAACAGGCAATTATCTACAAATGTTTGATTATTTTAACTAATGATTTTCAAAATGGAATACAGTTCGGCTAAACTCACTTTTCAGAACATCAGAGATTTGATAAAAATTTTAAATGTTTATAATTTTGCTTTACTGTTTAAACACCCCCTCCCAGCTATTCAAGTAAAACGTGCAAGACTGCCCTAAACAACAATTGCAGCTTAATTTCTACTATACAATAGGTTCATCAATATCGAGATCTGAGTGATTGAATTATTCTTTGCCATTTTTACTTCCGGTACAAAAACTGTCCTTAATGCATATGATACGTAAGGCAATGTTCAGGCGTAATATAGTGAATTTCTGCATCAGGAACTCTTCATCAGCTTTACAATGAAATTTTCAAGCTAGAGCAATGGAAATGCGTACATAAGCCATTTTCAAGAAGCGTTAGCATCGTTACGAGTACTGAAAGGAAAGTTTATTTTTTGAAATATTGCTGCATTACTTATGATTAACAGTCAAAACCCTTAAAACTCCATAAATATGCCAAATAAATTTTTAAACATCCAATTTTTGATTTCTGTTAAGCAGACTCAAACTTGACTTCCGGTTATGGTATGAAAATTGTTCAACCGTAAAATTGCCGATTTTTACCAAACTAAAGACATCTATAAATTTAAAATACAAAATTCTTTACTTTACATAATTATTTCCCCCTAAAGTAGGGTGTTGCGTTTCTTTTTGCGTGTCAGTATATATACAGGTTAAAGGAATAAGCAAATTATCAAGAAACAAGTCATTTTTTAAATTAGTTTAATTTGAAGTGGTAAACAACAGAAATAGATAATTTGCTATCCTTTTCTGAAAATGTAAAAAAAAAAATAAACCACAAAAATTCTGTAATAATTGCCTTTAAACTACATAATTTGAATTGTGACAGACAAAGACCGAAATATCTGATAACCAAACCATCCCTTTAAGCAAACATTTTGAAATTAACTTAAATCCATTATAACCTTTGTAAAATTAAACATATTGCAAGTACAATTGATCTAATATTTTCTTAAATACCACAGATATGTCGATCTAATCTTAAAATCTCAATTACTTTCAATATGGAACCTTCAAATATTTAGAAGAATTTTTCAAGTTCCAAAGAGTTTGAGATAAGGGGATTTTACAGTAATACTGTATAGTTACCGGGTTATTTTTGTCGAGTATTATTTTCACCCTTTTGCCCTTGTCAACAATTTTGCCTTATTTTAAATTCGCCCAGCCACAGTTCTGTTTAAGAAATTATCTTGTGTTATTTGAATTCACCCTGCTTTAAATTCGCCTACATCTGATGAGGAAGAAATGGACAAAAAATAAAATTGGGGCGACATTCCCCTGTATACAGTATCTTCAGTATCAAGTTTTAAATGTCCATACCTTTCCTGTGATCTCGATTCCGATTTCGTCCAGGACCTGGTTAACAACGGCGTCAGATTCCTCTTCGTCACCCGACTCTCCCAGAATATCATCTAACGTATCGTTAACTAGAAATAATTAAAAATACGGCACATTTATTCAAAGATATCAAATGTATGTACTTTTAGATACAGAAAGTTTTCAGTAACAATCAATAGACTTATTACAGGTGCTGTCCATATCAAAATTCAAATTAAGATATCAATTTTGTTTGTACAGTATTTTTAGATGTTTCTATTTGATATACCACTAAGTAGCTATAAAGGATATCCAATGAATAAATCAATACATCTGAAATTCTAAAGTCATATTCAATTTACAAACTTATGGTTTATAAATATATTCAGTAGCACGTTTGAACATCTGTATGCCTAGCTGTGTGATTCAATGCATGAGAAATGCTAAAATTAGTAACTGAATACATGGAAACAAATATTCCTTTACTTATGCACTTTGTTGGACATTTGTTACACAGTTTATAAGGTTAAGATAGTTAGATGTGAATACAGTGGATTAGATAAACAAGTGCTTTCTTACTCATTTCCTCCGACATGCCCATTTTCATGTTTTCTCTCTCAAAGTCTTGCATCATCTTTGCAGTCTTCTGGGGATCCATCACTTTATTCATCTGTTGCATTGTCTGAATCACATTAGAAAAATAACAGATTAATTTATGTTACGAATTTGTAAAGGTACATATACATGTATTTCCCAATTAGTCCAATATGCCCATTTTGGTATATGTGTCAACTTTTGATGTATTTCCTTATATCATTTTGTGTTTTTAATTTAAATTATATCATATTATAAAATTAATAAAACAAAACTGAAATTTAAAAAAAAACATAACTCTTACTTTGATTTTTTAAATTTCAATTACACACAAGAGTATGCAAATTTTGTGCAAATTTTACAGTTAAAGGGCAATAACTCTCCTGAAAGCTGTAAAATATGCTCATTTGTGCAAGATGTCCATACTACTAGATATAAAAAAAATCTGATAAAACAAAAATCTGTCATACCTTTGTTGTTGTTGCCATGGCACCAGCCATCTTCATGTTAGAGTGCATTAACTGAAATTTGGAAAGAAAATAAAAATAAAATTTTGCTTCAATTTCAAACGTTTATTCAGATTAATTTGATACAAAACATAATTTATATATAGATGCAGCTGTATTTTATCTCAAGAAAATTACATGTAGGTTACAATTCATAATTTCATTAAGTCTAGAACTTCAATAGTCTGGTTATACAGTAAAACTCGTTTAGTATGAACATGGATATTGCAAATTCACAGATATAACAAAGTTATCTTGAATCCCCAGCTATATAAATTTTAACAAATTCCTTAATACATGGATATAACGAATCATGGATATAGCGAAATAATTTCATAGGTCCCAGTGACTTCATTATAACCAAGTTTTACTGTATATCATTATACCTTATATCATCTTTTACAAAAAAAAAAACCCAAAAATTAAATTATAAAAAATTGTCAACTATAAACATGACTAAATCAAACTGCAATTTTCTGGTTCTCTGGCTTACCTTTTGCTGGTTCCCTATGGAGGATATTTTGGATCCTACAGAGTAGCTCTTCGTTTTCTGTTTCCTTAATGCAACTAATTGTTTAGCTAACACTGTGGCTGCCTGATAGAAAAGAAAGGAAAAAATAATTACCTAATAAACACTGATAAATAGAAGAAAAGAGAATAATTATCATGATTATATGTAAATCAGACAATGACATTTCTTCTTTTTTTTCAGCAGACATAAAAGAGTTATTTAACAATCTAATCATGAGGAGGAGGTTTACTTTTAAAGTATGACAGTCAAAGCCTTATTTAAGACAATTTACACTTACTAACATTTGTGCCTATTGTCATAATTCATTGTTCTTTACTTCCATGTTAATATTGGGGTGGTGTGGAGGTATTTGGTTGAACTGACCTGTTTATTGCCTTGTTTAGCTGCCTTCTTAATTTCCATTTCCTGTAAAATAGACAAAGTTTTTCAGTAATCATTATCCCTGGTAAATATAAGAAAATATAAAATACTTTGAAATCATTTTCATGGGGGCTCACTTTTCGTGGTTTTAATGTAAGAAGAGACATACCAATATATGTCCACCATGAATTGCAGTTGTTCACATATATTTCTACTGATTCAGTACAATTTTTCAACCACAAAATCAAATCCCCATGAACAAAATAATATATTTTCCTTAAGCCATGAAGAATTTGAACCCTTGAAAGTATGTTATTTTACAGTATTACTTGAGCTGATCACAGTTTAAGAGAAGTATTGTATGTATACATGTAAGTGTTTCTTAGCAGAAAAAAAAAACAATAAACATCTGTAACATGTGTAAGTACCCGGTAGAAATCCACAGCAGAAAAAAAGTTTAACTGAGAATCAGATTTTACATTGATAATGAAATAAAATGAATAGAACATCATTTCATCTAGTCATATTATTTCTTTCAGATATTGCCCTCTTTAAGGGATAATTAGTACTTTAATGGTAAAACTTCTCTAATCAAGACATCATTGATTTCAATGAAATGGACCAAATAAGTCTAAATAAACGGGAACTAGAAAACTGACCAGTCAGCAAGGGCCCCGCCATGGGGTAGAATTAAAAGGGTGCAGCTCACAGAATGATTAATAAATGTACATAGAAAACAGCAACTGTATTCTTAAAATTTCAACATAATTCCTGAATATTAAAAAACCTGAAAATAATATTCTTGTATTTACATTAGGCAGTAAAGAACAACTTAACATTGAATTTATATTTAAACAATTATGAATCTTGTGTTATATAAAATGCCAGCCTTCAATGATCATGAAGGCTTGACCTTAACTTCAAACAAACAGCAGTTGCAGACAAAGGTTTTCATTAATCTTAAAGTGACAGATAAAGAGAAGCCTACTAAATTTTCTGCAGCAGGCTAGATAATTAATCCCAAGGGATTAATTGTACCTCTCTCATCATTTTGTTCTAAAGTTACAATAAGAACTTTTTCAGTATTAATGATAGAATGGGGTTTTTATACAACTACATTAAAAATTAAAAACATTCTTGAATTAATATATTTTTAAAAAAAGGAAAAAAGTGAAAAAAGTACCCTGGTAAATCAAAAAATCTTCTTTAATCTATTTCTATTTTTAGGATTCAATGAAATCATAACTATCAAACAAAAATAAATAATAAAAATTTATATTTAAATCCACATTTCAGAGTGTTCATAGCATTCCAAATTGATTTAACTTCAAAACAAACTTCATTTGCAGACAGAGGTGGTAATTAATCTCAATGTGACAGATAAAGATAATGCTCTGGATTTTCTTCAGGAGGAAAGCTAATTAATCCCATGGGACTCCAAGTAGCATTCAGTTTACTGAATGGGAACATCTTCAGCAGTTATCTCTCTTTGCCAATGCATTCTTATATAAAGTTAAGGAATCTACCCTACCACCCCAGCTCCAAACCAAGGGACATAGAGAACCAAACTTAGCATCAAAATATGTATTTTTGCCTACTGAACTACAGTACCAAATTTGATCTTAATTGGGCAACCATAAAAAAGTTGCCCGTTCATTCTTATGCATAGTTAATGAATCTACCCCACCACCCCAGCTCCAAACTAGAAGACATAGAGAATCAAACTTAGCATCAAAATATGTATTTCTGCCTATTAAATTACCATACCAAATTTAAACTTGATTGGGCAACCATAAAAAAGTTATTAGAAAAAAACAGAAAATTTGTGGACGGAAGAGTGACAGACGGACAGACAGACGGACGGACAGACAGAGTGATTACTATAGGGCACCCACAAATCCTTGCGGGGCCCTAATAAACTGATTCTATATTCTGAATAAGAAAACATTTAAAATAGTTGAATTTACTGATTGGGACTTATAGTTTACATCCTTTTATACAAGATTTTGAATAACGCTGAACCTGGATTAGAAAGATTTCCCTGTAACTTACAATTTTCTTTTCCTCCCTCTCGAGCTTGTCTCGGTCTCTTGTGAGGTCTCTCTGGGTTTTTCTCATCGTTCTATCATTCTCACGCAGTTGTTCTACAAAAAAGTTCTAGATAAATGAAAAATATTCCATCATGTCCATATAATATCAGTTGTAAATTACAGTCTGTAGTTGAAAGTAAAATAGAAAATTTCCACTTAATAGAAAACCATTGTCAATGTCATTAGTATTTTTTATCAAATGTTTTTGATTAATCAGATTAAACTCATTTTTGAAATCACAGATTGAATGAAAATTCAATGCACATACATGTAAAGATATTTAGCTGCAATAATGTAGCCCTCTCCTATTTTTTTATCTGATGTTTTCTGGAGAGAAAAAAGGGAGAGGACTACATAATTGCAGCTAATAGATATTTAGTAACACTGACAGTGTTCACATGTACCATACAAAACACTAAAATGCAGTGTCAGATCTATGCAAAATTATGCTGAAAAAAAATAATTTCTCTCCCTCCCTCCCATACATGCCAACTTTCCCGATTTTTTCGGGAGTCTACCGATTTTTAACCCTGTCTACCGCTTGTCTACCGATTAATTTTTTTTCTCCCATTTCTACCGATATTTCGAAAATCCGGAATTTTTACCGATTCGCTTTGAATAATACAGTATTTCCGTGTGCAGAAAACATGGCTGTTTCAATGTTTATCGGTAGGATATCTGTTTATTGCCGCTGATAACAGGTAATCAACAAGGTGTCAACTGTGCTACCAGTCATTACAGAGGTTTTTATTGCTCCTGAACCTCATTAACAGTGTATTTTAACCGAGACAATTATGCCAGATGTGGAAATTTTAGAAATACACACGACACTGGATACAAACTGACAAACTTGTGAGAGTTCACACTTTACAGCAAACTTTGACAATATACATATAAACCGTTTATAAAAGATGTTCAAGTTTTGGAATATTGCATTCCTCATTAAATTATTATCTACTTCATGGAAAAGACAATGCCAAAATCCAACATGGAAAAAATGTGCCTGCAAGTGAAAACCATTAGGACTGACCAGAGTGATCAAAATAAAAAAAGAAAGGAAAATATCATGCCTTTTGCAGACTGATTGAAAAGTTAAAGTGACTTGATATTCCCTCTGATTAAGAAAAAAATAATTTAACAATATTTTGTATAACAGTAGCCTTATAAACTTTGTAATTTACCAACACACAATGAACAGTTCAGCTTATTTTTAAAGTTAAACATCCTTATTTTATGTACTAATATGTTAACTCTGTGTATCACATTCTTCAAGACAGAGGGTATATTTATCTTAATATTAACATATTCAATAATTTTGAATAAAATTGTCTTTTTTTTTTAATTTTAAATGACTTGTATTTGTGCTTTTCTTTAAGTTGATAGAGAAGAAAACACTTTTTGAAGTAGTAATAATATATGATATAATTAAGGTAGTAGATTGATAATGTAGAAAAAACATTACAAAAAGATATTTCACGACAAAACGCTGCGAATTAGGAACTTTTAAAAATGTCATTACGCGCAATCTCCCCTAAGAAAATTTTCAAAAGTTGGCATGAATGCCCTCCTGTGTCTTAAACACTTCAGGCAGCAATTCCAAATGAACATTTTTTTAAGGATAGCCTTGTTGCTCATTATCAACCAAATATACTCTAACATCTTCAACTACTGCATAATTACTTTTTAAATCATGCAAAACTGCTTGCTTACTTTGAGTAGGTGTATGTTTTACAAAATCATTTGCTAATTTTTCACTCTTAGGGTATCTTTGGGTGTCACTGGGTTCCTTGTGGGTGCTAATGTGTTTCTTTGTGGTATTGTGCATGGGTAAGGGGTGTTAATGTAGATTGTTGAGTACATTTGGCTGTTAATCCCCTGTGGGTAAGAGATTTTGAAATCTGAAAATTTTTGCTCCCGTTTACCTATATATGCTTTGTGCCAAAATTGGTTGAAATTGGATAAGCTGTTCAAGGAAAGATGCTGAAATGGTTCAAAAGATTAGGAAACAGATGGACAGGAAGCACAACGTCGGACAATAACAGATAGTAATAGGTCACCTGTGTGACTCAGATGACTAAAAATTGCACATATAAACCATAATTAGACTCATTAAAATTAAATAAGATGTCCTTGTGGTATCCCTGTGGTTCCTTGTGGTTCCTTAGGGTATCCTTGTGGTTCCTTGGGGTTCCTTGTGGTTAAAAGACTGTTAAGACATACCCGGTTTCAGACATCATCGCAAACCAAGGGGTTTCATCCACTCCACTCCACTCCCCCACAAACATAGTGGGGAGTGGAACAGACCAAAAACCCTTAGCTTGCAAAGAGGGTTTTTAGATTGATAGACTGGTCTAAAGGTGTCAAAATTTCCTTGCATACTGTGTATGTACATAAATTGTCAAATTCAAAATTTAGCTCAATCACTGCCCACTGGTGATTCACTGATTGGATTGTTGGCGTATTCCCGAAATAGTGATACGTACACACTTCCACACTAAGCCCAAATTTTAAGTAAACATACAGTATGTTGTTGAATTTTTTTTTCAATTCCACAATATTTAAATTCCGCACCCATTTTTTCTTTGGAAAATGAAAATGAGTTGGTGTGTAGAACTAGAACATGTAGAAAGCTTTGTCAGTTTATGTACCGTCACAATGGACGAGAAGTCAAAAATAGTAAAATTCTCTTTTATTAGTAATCTATAGTAAATAAAAAATATTGTGAAATCAGAAATTTGAGAAAAGCTTCCGTCCCCTCTCTTTGTTATCAGGATTATTGTGGATTTTGTATACTTTACCTTGGACGGTTGGTTTCTTTTTAAACATGGTGTGTGTCTGTCTTCTTCAACTAAATCACAATGACTAGATCTAGGCAGCTGCTAATGAGTAAATTCTGGAGTTTTTAGACTATATTTCTTTTGTATACACTCATGATCGTGACGAATATTTGTAAATACGGAAGTAAGGGTTGTGCTAATTACCGCCGATTGCCTAATAGTGAGTTCAGACTAATAAACGAAATAAATAGAAAGCGTCCATTGAACTGGAAAAGGATTTAGAAAAAATACAAACAAATGAAGGAATTTCGAATTTGCCTTTAATCAGAATAATTAAAAAAAATATATTATTCAAAGACAATGGACATCCCTGTGGATAAATAATTGCCAAACAATCACCCCCCCCCCCTGTGTCATCAGTCGTCACCCCCACCCCCCCCCCCCACCCCCCAAAAAAGTAAAAAGAAATAACGCTTATTATTCTGTATATACAAAAAAATATAAAACACAAAAAAGAAGGGATGCAATTTATTTACAATTAATTTGCCAATGATTGGATCACAGGAGTCTGAAGATCAAAAAAAAAAAAAAAAAAAAAAAAAAAGCAGAAAAAAATATTCCTACTCTTAACTAAAAAAAACCCTTTTTTTTTAGTTAAAGGGATTTTTTCCGGATTTTTTTTTTTTTTTTTTTTTTTTGATTAAAACTTCAGATGGGTTTTTTTAGTTAAGGGTAGGAAAAATTTTTTATTTTTTTTTTTTTTTTTTTTGATTAAAACTTCAGACTCCTGTGATTGGATATTTTGGAAATGGTGGGGTAATTTTTTTATATAAAAGAATTTCTTCAAAAAGATTGGTTTATCATTGATAATTACATGTATATATATGCCTCTCAAGTAGCCCCAACAAACTATTGAGGTTTCAAAATCAGTTTCTTCTTAATTATTAATTAGCATTTGATTTTAAAAAAAACCTAAATGTTGCAGAGCAGACATTAATTCTATTCTGAATAATTATTTACAGTAACTGTAGTTCGATCCCTAGAAACAAATCAAAGTATGGTGTTTTGGATGTCTGTATTCTCCTATACATGTAATGAAATCCCTCATATCTACATGTAATTATGAGGTCTTCCATTACTAAGCAAGGCCACACCAATTTAATTTTTTGCTTGTTGGACCATTCACTCATATTTAAACATGTTTTTTTCCCTATTCTATATCATTCTGGTTACTCAACAGATCAGAAAAAAAAGTAGAAAGAAAATTGTCTGCTTAAATGTTTTTCATTTCTTCAAAAAATTTTTGCCTAAAGAACTAATATTACAGTGTATAACATGTATTTAAATAGCTCACCCTCTCCTATTTTTTATCCAACATTCCAATCCAAAAGATAGTTGGAAATGAATACCACATGCATGCAGTATAATAATAAATCAATAGCTTGCAAAAATAAATTTAGCATCATATCCAAGTAGATCAAAGGATATAATTTTAAAAAGACTGACTGTATGGGATGAATTTTCATAGAATGATTTCTATACTACATACACTTGTGGCAATTTTGTTTTTTAACATGAGTTATCAACATTTTTCTATCAATATAAACACCCATGGTCCAGCTCTACCTACCAAAGGGAATAAACACAAAGTGAAACATTGATTTGTTTATTTTTATTTCCATTTTCCACATGAAGCATATTATAACATTTATGATCATTTAATGACATTCATCAACCATTTTATTTTATGCTATATTTACAATGAGTTATGACAAGTTGTTCTTGGAATGAGATGTTTTACATGTCAAATAAATAATAAAACAACACAAATTCATTCTGAAATTCTATAAATATTGTCATTAAACCTTGCGATCAGTCAATTGTGTAAGCAAATATTGTATAAAAAATTTCCCCATGTAAATGCATTCTGATCTATTCTTTTGTACAAGAACAATCATTAACATGTATATATGACTAAATGCCTATGGCAACTGATTGCACAAAAACTCAACTATACATAACATCAAAAAAATTAATAAATATCAAACTGCTTAGCCTAATTACCAACAAAGCAAATTGTACATATGTATATGTGTGCACTGATTTTGCAAATGGCAGGTCAGTAGTACTGTATATTTTAGGCCATGCTTTTGACTGATTTTTTTTTTACACTGTGCACATAATTTTTTTCTCTTGCAGTATGAAGAGCAAATGATGTGTTGCATTTATAAAGTTCACAATTTATTTCATAAATGTCTATACTATGAGGAAATATAAAAATTTCAAAATGAAACCATTCTCTGGCAAATGTTGTACAGATTTTTGTAAAGTGAAGAATGTTCAATAATGACTGAAAATATTTTTTGTCAGGCAGTAATGTTTTAACTTTGTAAAATATGGTATTTTATGTACAATGTGAAATACATAAACATATAATTATGTTACCAGCTTATAGATAGGATTTTCTTTGTACAGATATAGAAATCATCTATTAATTTCTGGAACTTATCACAAAATTCTTGTCAGTCTGACAGTATAATCATGAAGTTAATTGATGTAATCCCTTGTTTTAAACTGAATTTTTTTTCATTTCTATCAGTAGTTAGATCAGTATTTAAGAGAGCACCAAACAAGAGGCTTTTGCTAAATTCAACTTTCAAACAGCCAATAAAAAATACTGAAAGAATTCTTAAGTAAACAGTCAAAAGAAAAACATCTGATGCAGTTGTTGTACATGTAAAAAAAAAAATTTTTAATCCTGATTTCATTCATCTTATTTCAGAGGTGCTCTCCCCATTATACAAGACAGATTTATATCCCTTTGTCATCAATATTTCTTAGATTGACACATTTGTTTAGATTCACTTTATCATCACAGTCTTGACTTTCACTAAAAACGGTCGAATATTTAGACATCTTAATGTTGAGTGGGTTTTCAATCATCATCGGATTCATCAAAATCTGTGGAGTAATCCGAGTCTGTTTCATCGTCCTTATCCTTGTCTTCTTCATCATCGACGAAGTCCCACTGAGGATGATCATCTATTACCTTGGCTTCCTTCACGTCCAACTGTCAAATAAACATTAAATGCACCGATGAATTGGGTAAATATTAGATCAATTCTATGAAAATTCTTTTATTTTTCCCTTGAATTCTTAGTTTATGAAAAAAGAAAATCCAGTAAAACCATTCGTTTAAATTTTTATCTACTCAAAGAAATCCTTCATCAGAATTAATATTTAATGCTAAGTGATAGATGTACATGTAGCAATTCATGCACATTTCAAAGTGCACATTTGCATTTAGGGAAGACAAAATTCTATTTCACACATATACATTAACAATTTCTCATCACTGTGAAAATGAAGATTAAAATAATGATTTTTGTGTCATACCCTGATATTCTTGGATTGATCGAAGTCGACGTAACAATCTGATCGTAGCACCACGGTGTATGTATACAAGCCAGGCTTGTGAGGGGCAGAGAACTTGAGCGTCATCTGAAAAATAGAATATTAATTTAAATGCAATGGAGTTTTTTATGTAAAAGAACCTCATTTACTCTAAAATTACATTCATACTTTAACTATACCGACTCTTCCACAAAAGAAAAAAGAAACTTTTGTTACAATCTTATGTCAATAATTGTATATTCTGGATTTCTTCATGCATTTGTTTATGTTTTTTTCTATAAGAAGGGGGTGGGGTTATCCTTTGTTTATGTGATTTTTTTTTATTGGGAGGGATGGGGGGGGGACTGTTGACTGTACTGTTAGTCTGGTACCCACCTCCTCTGTGTCTTTGAGTGTCAGGATCTGGACAGGAGCTGTTATCAACATGTGGGATTTTTTATCACTTACATACAACCACCAGCCCTCCTGCTTCTCCTACAACAGAGATCAAACGCATTAAAAAAACTCTAAAAGAAAATACATTTATCACAACAAAAAGAATTCTAAACTAGAATTGTCCAATAGGGACAAATACCCCCCGCTGGGTTTTTCAGAGAAGGTGCCAATTCAAAAATACTTTATGGATCTAGAGGTGTTCACAATTTACTTACAAAAATTTGCAGTGAAATATAATTGCTCATTATGTTTCTTAATGAATGAAACAAATGTGCAATCAAATGAAACATCAATACTAATACATTGTAATTCCATTGTAACATTTTTTTTTAAATTTTTTCATTTTATTTTTTTTTTTATTAGTGCATTAAAAAATATATTACAATTATGTGTTATGTCACTATGCAAACTGATTGTTGAAAATAAAAACCATTATACAAAATCAAATTAATCTTGATATATCAATTTGAAATGCATTTTGAAAATAAAGAGCTGGTCATCCAGTAATGAAGTGCTTTGACAGACAATAAATTACAATTAAGAGAATAAGAGAAGAGAGATCTTTAATTCTTGTGCCTTATTCCCTGGAGATAGATAACACACACGCTTGATAAGAGATATGCCTTAACAACTTCCAACACCAAACTCATTAATTTATCTTTAACTGGATGCATGTCCAGACATTATTCCCAAGAGACAAATGAAATTACATTATCTTCTGTGCAATGTAAAAACTGTTTTTAACTCTTGATGATGTTTCTTTTTTTAAGTTTTTATAAGTAGTTTTAAGCTGTAGTATTTTTGAACAGATATTCTAGATTCTATATCTCAAACCTTATACATGAGCCTAAAATGAACAAGTCAATTAAAATAAAAAAAACATAGGTAATCAGATATTACAGAGCTCACCTCAACGTGTGTTGTCTTTAAGTAAGGCAAATTAAGTCACACAATTAACCAACAAAAAGTGTACATCCAAAAATGCAAAATTTATGCAAATTTGATACTTTGGAATAGACCTATATAAAATCTAAAAACTAGTTCTTCATCATGAAAATGTAATTAAAATCCAGCATCTGAAGCAAGATTGAGAGTTTTCATCCCTTGATGCATCATTTGTGCAACTGGTTTATATAAGCCTTATAGTTTCTTGGTGATAGACTTGCACCCATAACTTTTACGAGGTCTATTATCTGGAAAATGTATGTCGAATTCAGCATCTGAAGCAAGTCCATTAGTGTGCATCCTAAGATGCATCATCCATGCAAGTTTGGTCAACATAGGGCTTAAAGTTACTTGCAAATGAAACCTGTATAAAAAAATTAACCTTTCCACTAATCCAGAAAATGTAGGTCAGATTCAGCATCCGAAGCCAGCCTAGTAGAATGCACCCTTAGATGTACCATCCATGCAAGTTTGGTCATAATAGGGCTCAAAGTTACTTGGAAATGAATCCTGCACCATAAACTTTAACATGTTTACTCGTCCAGAAAATGTAGGTCAGATTCAGCATCCGAAGCAAGTCTGGTAGTATGCATCCTAAGATGTACCATTCATGCAATTTAGTCGTTATAGGGTTCATAGTACTGTACCTTGGAAATGAAACCTGCATCCAAAATTTTAACCTGTTCACTCAACCGGAAAATGTAGGTCAGATTCAGCATCCGAAGCAAGTCTAGTAGATTACATCCTAAGATTTACCATCCATGCAAGTTGGTCATTATATGTCTCATAGTAGCTTGGAAATGAAACCTGCACCAAAAACTTTAACCTGTTCACTCAACCAGAAAATGTAGGTCAGATTCAGCATCCGAAGCAATTCTAGTAGATTACATCCTAAGATGTACCATCCATGCAAGTTTGGTCATTATAGGGCTCAAAGTATCTTCAAAATGAAACCTTCACCAAAAACTTTAACCTGTTCACCGGAAAATGTAGGTCAGATTCAGCATCCGAAGCAAGGCTGGTAGTATGCATCCTAAGATGTATCATCCATGTAAGTTTGGTCATTATATGTCTCATAGTAACTTGGAAATGAAACCTGCACCAAAAACTTTAACCTGTTCACTCAACCGGAAAATGTAGGTCAGATTCAGCATCCGAAGCAAGTCTAGTAGATTACATCCTAAGATGTACCATCCATGCAAGTTTGGTCATTATAGGGCTCAAAGTATCTTCAAACCATCACCAAAAACTTTAACCTGTTCACTCAACCGGAAAATGTAGGTCAGATTCAGCATCCGAAGCAAGGCTGGTAGTATGCATCCTAAGATGTATCATCCATGTAAGTTTGGTCAACATAGGGCTTATAGTTACTCGGAAATGAGACCTACACCAACAAGAGGCCCATGGGCCACATCGCTCACCTGAGAAGCTTTGACAATTCTGTCCTTTACTAGATTTACCCCTTGTAATACATATTGTGACCCCACCCTACCCCACTGATCATAATTTAGACAATTTGAAATCTACACTACCCCAGGATGCTTCCATATAAGTTTCAGCTTTTCTGGCCCAGTTGCTATTAAGAAGAAGATTTTCAAAGATTTTTCCTATATATTTCTATGTAAAACTTTGATTCCCCATTGTGGCCCCGCCCAATCCCCGGGGGTCATGATTTGTATAATTTAAAATCTTCACTATCCTAGGATGCTTCCACATAAGTTTCAGCTTTTCTGGCACAGTGGTTCTTGAGAAGAAGATTTTCAAAGATGTTTCCTATATATTTCTATGTAAAACTTTGATTCCCCATTGTGGCCCCGCCCAACCCCCAGGGGTCATGGTTTGTATAATTTAAAATCTTCACTATCCCAGGATGCTTCCATATAAGTTTCAGCTTTTCTGGCACAGTGGTTCTTGAGAAGAAGATTTTCAAAGATTTTTCCTATATATTTCTATGTAAAACTTTGATTCCCCATTGTGGCCCCGCCCAATCCTAGGGGGTCATGATTTGAACAATTTAGAATCTACACTACCCCAGGACGTTTTCACATAAATTCAGCTTTTCTGGCACAGTGGTTCTTGAGAAGAAGATTTTCAAAGATTTTTCCTATATATTTCTATGTAAAACTTTGATTCCCCATTGTGGCCCCGCCCAATCCCCGGGGGTCATGATTTGTACAATTTAGAATCTACACTACCCCAGGATGCTTCCACTTAAGTTTCAGCTTTTCTGGCACAGTGGTTCTTGAGAAGAAGATTTTCAAAGATTTTTCCTATATATTTCTATGTAAAACTTTGATTCCCCATTGTGGCCCCGCCCAACCCCCAAGGGTCATGGTTTGTATAATTTAAAATCTTCACTATCCCAGGATGCTTCCACATAAGTTTCAGCTTTTCTGGCACAGTGGTTCTTGAGAAGAAGATTTTCAAAGATTTTTCCTATATATTTCTATGTAAAACTTTGATTCCCCATTGTGGCCCCATCCAATCCCCGGGGGTTATAATTTGAACAATTTAGAATCTACATTACCCCAGGATGCTTCCACATAAGTTTCAGCTTTTCTGGCCCAGTGGTTCTTGAGAAGAAGATTTTTTAATGACCCCACCCTATTTTTGTCTTTTCTTGATTATCTCCCCTTGCGAGGGGATGTGTCCCTTCATTTTAACAATTTAAATTCCCCTTTACCCAAGGATGCTTTGTCTGGTTGAATGCATCTAACCAAGTTTGGTCAAAATTGGCCCAGTGGTTCTTGAGAAGAAGTCGAAAATGTGAAAAGTTTACGGACGGACAGACGGACGGACGGACGGACGACGGACACAATGTGATCAGAAAAGCTCACTTGAGCCTTCGGCTCAGGTGAGCTAAAAACTGCACCAACTAGAACTGTCCATTAGGGACAAATACCCCCGCTAGGTTTTTCAGAGAAGGTGCCAATTCAAAAATACTTTATGGATCTAGAGGTGTTCACAATTAACTTACAAAAATTTGCAGTGAAATACAATTGCTCATCATGTTTCTTAATGAATGAAACAAAGGTGCAACCAAATGAAACATCAAAACTAATACATTGTAATTCCATTGTAACATTTTTAAAAATTTTTTCATTTAATTTTTTTTTATTACTGCATTAAAAAAATATATTGCAATTATGTGTTATGTCACTCTGCAAACTGATTGTTGAAAAAAAACCATTATACAAAATCAAATTAATCTTGATATATCAATTTGAAATGCATTTTGAAAATAAAGAGCTAGTCATCCAGTGATGAAGTGCTTTGACAGACAATAAATTACAATTAAGAGAATAAGAGAAGAGAGATCTTTAATTCTTGTGCCTTATTCCCTGGAGATAGATAACACACACACTTGATAAGAGATATGCCTTAACAACTTTCAACACCAAACTCATTAATTTATCTTTAACTGGATGCATGTCCAGTCATTATTCCCAAGAGACAAATGAAATTACATTATCTTCTGTGCAATGTAAAAACTGTTTTTAACACTTTATGATGTTTCTTTTTTTAAGTTTTTATGAGTAGTTTTAAGCTGTAGTATTTTTGAACAGATATTCTAGATTCTATATCTCAAACCTTATACATGAACCCAAAATGAACAAGTCAATTAAAATAAAAAATAAAACCTGTAAAATGCAAAAAAATTAACAAAAAGAGTTGAAAATTCCAGGTGCACACCTTCATATGGTGAATAATAAGTGTACAAATTTTCAGATTAATCCTTGCAATAGTTTCTGAGAAACGGTCCAGACAAAACCACAAAATAAAAATGAAAAAACACCTGTAAAATTCAAAATAATAATCCAATCAAGATGAAAATATCAGGTGCACAACTTCATATGATGAATAATATGTGTACAAATTTTCAGACAAATCCTTCCAATAGTTTCTGAGTAATGGTCCGGACAAAATCTCGTCTACAGACAGACAGACAGACGGACAGACGGACGTTGTGATTCCAATATACCCCCCCTAAACTTCGTTTGCGGGGGGTATAAAAATGTTAACCTGCACCAAAAACATTAACCTGGTCATTCCTTTGCTGAAATTGCAGCATCTGAAACTTTGACTGGTACAATGAAACACACTAGCAACATCTTCCATGCATGTCTAATCAATATAGGACATAGAAGTACTTAAAAAGAAAACTGCTCCAAAAAACTTAACCTTAACCCGGGACACCGACGCCGACACCGACGCCGAGGGTATAACATAAGCTCCCCCCAACTTCGTTGAGGTGAGCTAATAAAACCTGTAAAATGCAAAAAAATTAACAAAAAGAATTGAAAATTCCAGGTGCACACCTTCATATTGTGAATAATAAGTGTACAAATTTTCAGATTAATCCTTGCAATAGTTTCTGAGAAACGGTCCAGACAAAACCACAAAATAAAAATGAAAAAACACCTGTAAAATTCAAAATAATAATCCAATCAAGATGAAAATATCAGGTGCACAACTTCATATGGTGAATAATATGTGTACAAATTTTCAGACAAATATCTCCAATTGTTTCTGAGTAATGGTCCGGACAAAGTCTCGTCTACAGACAGATGGACATGGTGATTCCAATATACCCCCCCCTAAACTTCGTTTGCGGGGGGTATAATTACAAAATATTTCTCTTTTTGAGTTGATCAAAACTTTTCTGTGACTTTCATTTAAAAGGGAATGCCCAGTCATTGAATGAAAACATCAGATGTACAGAGATCTGAAAAAAAATTACTTCTTTACTGCCTTTTTTAAGAGCAGTAGAGAATACCATAAATCTGGAAAGTTTTGCTGTAAATAAATTTTTAGCAAATTTACCAGTGCATTAAATTCACAAAAATATATATTTTTTAAAATAAATCACCATTTAGAAAAGGTAAACAAATCAGTAGTCATTCGCAAAATTTTGAAATGTGAAAATTAATCAACAGAATTTTGACCTGAATATGCAACATAAAATAGATATAAAAATTTCCAAATTAACGGTATGATTCTCCTTGACCTGTAACAAATTTGCTAATCACAACTTTCCATATTTAGGACACTAGACATGATGGCTCTCCTTGACCTTTGACACTGTTGCTGATGACAATTTACCTCTTTGTAAGAAGGACAGTGGACAGGGTGACTCTCCTTGACCTTTGATATGGTTGCTATGACAACTCACCTCTCCGTAATAAGGACAGTGGATGGGATGACTCACCTTGACCTCTGACACGGTTGCTATTGACAACTCAACTCTCCATAATAAGGGCAGTGGACAGGATGTCTCTTATGACCTTTGACACGGTTGCTAATGACGACTTACCTCTCCACAATAAGGACAGTGGACGGAGTGACTCTCCTTGACCTTTGACACTGTTGCTATGATGACTTACCTCTCCGTAATAAGGACAGTGGACGGGATGACTCTCTTTGACCTTTGTGTCCAGCTGTTGTTCTTTCTTGGCCTCCTCCTGGTATTTCCTCCACTGCTCCTCATCCTCCTCGTGACCTTTGGAGGACTCAGACACTCCTCGCTCCTCACCGTCTGAGGCGTTAGTTTCCTCGTCTGTATCTGCCCTCTCAGAATCACTGTCGTTATCTTCTCTGTCTTCTTCATCTTCCTTCACTGCGACTTCATTACCCTGAAATAAGATATAGTTCACAACTATAGGCCTCTTGTAAGTTTTCACAAAGTCAAAATGAAATTAATGTCCTTCTTTTCAGCTTTATCAAAATAATACATTACCTAAATCTATAAAAATTCAGTCAGATATCTTTTTTTTTCTGCATCCACTTTCTTTCTTATTTTGTTCTTTAACATCATCTCGTCTGTTTTTTGAGACCCCCCACCTGGTATCACAATACCACTTCTCTTCATTTTTTTTTTAGATTCCCATAGCATGTACCCCTCTTTTTGTTACTATTTGATTTCCTCTAAACTCTTTTTTGACCCCCCTTTGCCCCTTTTTAATCTTTCAATGTTGCAGACATCTCACCTGTTTCTCGTTCTCGACCTTGCCCTCCTTCTTCTCATTAGCCGTGGTGTTTGTAGCTGCCGCAGCCTTCCAGTTGTACGCCTGTTTGACCTTTTTGTTCTTTTGATTACCTCCCTTCTTCTTCGGCTGTTTCTTCTGTTTGTGCCAGATCGGGGCTTTCTCTTTTGTTTCTACATTCTCTTCTCCCTCATTTTCCTGCTATGAAACAAATTACAGATTGCATTAAGGCATAAGAAGTAGGATAGAATCAATGTCTAGAATAAGATGCAGTTAAAACGAGTTACATTCATTACAAAATAGAACTTTCATTATGACATCTTTGCTAGCCAAGGGTTTCTGATATGCTGCTCTCCTCATTTATGAGAATGCATATCAATAATCCTTGGCTAACGCAAACGTCATTATGATTGAAGTACTGTTTAGTGTTACATCCCTAACTTTATGAGATTTTTTATATATACACCTGTACAACTGTTGAAGTTCTTGTTTTAAAAGGTGGATATTTCAGTGGTTAGAACACTGAAATACATGTAGTGAAACAAGGGTTCTGGGTTCGATTCCAGGTCCAGCTAAGGTTTTTTTCTTAATTCATTCCTACTATTGTTTAATCTCAAAGTTAATCAATACTTTTGTTTCACAAAATTTACACTGAAATTTGTATTATTGTGCAAATCCTTTAACCAAAGTTAACATATCTAACAAAGGACAGGATGAAAAATTCCTTTTGCTTATAACTTATACCTCCTTTACTGATGTTTGCTAATACCCCTACAGGACAAGTAAATTCCTGTCTCACTCACCTGGTCTTTATTAGATTCTGTTTCCTCGTTAGCGATGGCCAGATTGTCACGTTCCTCGTCAACATGAGACAGGTCCTCCTTATCAAACAACACCTCCATCATCTCCCGGGTCAGACTGACATTGACCGTTACAATAGAACCCGCTGTTATTGACGTATCTTCATCATCCAGAACTGTAAGAGATATATACATATAGATCAGTTTATATCCTAGAACATGCATTTGGAATTCTTTGCATTTTTATCTATTGAATGTACAAAAAGCTCTTCATTATACTTATACCATGCATAACCTTTATGGTTTTCTTTCAGGAGGAAATTTATAAAAACAGAATTTACATTTCATGCCTAGCAATTATTTTGAAGATAAGTTTCATTAATCTGGACATTTCATCAATGTAGAAAAATTATTATTACTCTGAAACAAAAGAACATTAAAGAGGATGCAAACCAAATGCTAATGCATTCATATGTAATATTACATATTTCTGTATGTACAATAATCGCAATAAAGACATATAAACAAAATTTTTATTTTCATCCTTCACAACTGTATCTAAAGCAATTTTCAACTCATGTTGTGTGTACCTGTGGAGTGGACCTCCATCTTGACGTGTGGCAGTGTGGCACACACATTAATTATGTCACGATACTCGTCAGAGGTCATGTGACGTAGAAGTGAGCGTCGATCTTCCTCCTTCATCCCGATCAAGTCGCGGATTCTCTGGATGTGTCTCTACAATCATTTTATGACAAATATGAAGTAAAATCAATGATAAGAATTAATCTATGTAAGGTTAAAAGTAATCTATAATCTTATAGCTATCAAGTACATGTACATTGAATAATTATTATGGAAATCCAAAGAGATTCTGATGTAAGTTATTTCTTCACAGCTGGTGTTTTTCTCAAATTTTTTTTTACAGTCACAGTGTCATTATGTTGAAAGATGTTTGTGTTTTTAGTGTAGAGAAAGTTGTGACTGAAATATTCGAATTGTCAATATATAAGTTTTTTTTTTTACATAATTTTATTCATATGTACATTTAAACCCTCAAGGCACTTTTTAAAGTGGTCAGTATACATACATGTACTAGTATATTCAAGAAAACAGCCACCCAAATGTATGTTTATTGGTTGTAATTTGTTTCAGACTGATTTAACTTTCAAGTGAATGTGAGTATGGTGGTGGTGGGGGTTGGGGGGTTAAACATTTTTCTTGTGGTGAGGCACTTCAGAATGTCCTGTGTGAAGTGTTTCAGCATGTCCTGTGTTAGGTGTAGTATGTTTTTTGCAGCATTTCGTGTATATGGTAGTCTATTTACCTTTTTAGTGGTGAAATGTTTCAACATGTCCTGTGTTAGGTGGGGTAGTTACATGTACCTTTTTAGTGGTGAAGTGTTTCAGCATGTCCTGTGTTAGGTGGGGTAACTGTAACAGAGGACTGGTCCGTACGTCCACCGCCTGTATCAACATCTGGGACAGCTTCATACAATTCTCTACTGTCTCCAGCCTAGGCATATACTGGACAGCTGATTTAATATAATCATTTATATTAAATAAAAATATCAATGAAGTTACATTTCAAGGACATCTTTTGTAACATTTTTTTCTTTTTTCTATACATTTGCCATAATTCATGTGTAATCAGAGCATACAGTGTATAAATTTTGATAATAAAATGTCAATCTTGGCTCCAAGACAAATGTGCTTTAAATGTATGAAATGAAATAAATTTACTAAATATAAGGTATGAAATGAAATAAATTTACTAAATATAAGCTCATATTATTTGTTGTCAAGAAGACCTACCATTTCTGTGAGCTCCTGCCACCAGCTGTGCAATAACATTTATCATTTCATTGATCAGATATGGACATTTCTTCACCACATAGGCTTGGTCTGGAAGAGGAAATGAAACATAATTACATTTAATTCAGGGGGGTAAGTCCCATGTACCAATAGCTAGCTTGTCGGTGGTAGGCCCACTTACCAATAGCTAGCGTGTCGGAGGTAGGCCCACTTACCAATAGGGGTAGGCTCACTTACCAATAGCTAGCATGTCAGGGGTAGGCCCACTTACCAATAGCTAGCGTGTCTTGGGTAGGCCCACTTACCAATAGCTAGTGTGTCGGGGGTAGGCCCACTTACCAATAGCTAGCGTGTCGGGAGGGGGGGTCGCACTTACCAATAGCGAGTGTGTCCGGGGGTAGGTCCAGCCTCTGGAAGTGGGCGTGTAGGAGAGCTCTGGCCTTGACACTGTAAGGATAACACAGGGGCTTCTCCTTGTTCTTCTCATCTAGATTAGGCAAGCGTTTGATCAGCTGAAAAAGAAAATAGTATATATTTAGAACATTCATTACTTTTACTCTAGGCTATAACTTCAGGATAATTTTAAACAAAATTCCATGAAATGAAATTTTAAATTGCACAGAAATAAATACATATAACAACTGTTCAACATTACCTTCATTCAACTTGTTCCTTGTTTTTCAAACTGATATACAATATAATGTATAAGCACATTATTTCTCTCCTTGAAAAATCTGTACATGGTTTTATGAATTTCACATGTCTTACCATAGGGACCTCCTCATTGTCACTGGGTCTCTCTACAATCTCAGCATTGTGGAATTTGTCAAACTCAAAGGAGCCAGCTAACACCATTATCACCCCTACATAACAGAGACACTCAATTATTATTGTTTTATAATCAATTTTTAAATCTATGCTGGAAGTCTTTCTCAACGTTTCAGTCCAAAGACTACATTTAAATGGGGTTAAAGTACAAGAGATAGTAACATTAACTGAAGAATTAAATCTTTAGAGAGTTCATTGTATACAAATAAAATCTACCTTTATTTGAATATATAGACAACTTGTTAAGAAATAAATCAGCAATGGTAAATCATTTATATTCTGTTACATTAATAATGTCTTATTTATTTACAGAATATGCTAAGTACTAAACAATATAGTGATGACTTAGCATTGTACATCACCTATGCACAGAAACTTTGTACATGTACACTTACGTTTCAGAATCATGTTGGGGTTTTTCTGGAAGAAGTAGTAGTAGAGCCTGGTGGTGTCTAATAGGACCTGGTCCTTAGAGAACTTGATGGAGCGGTACCACCACACACCCTGTATACAAAGATAACAGTAAACATAATTACTAAATAGACGATGATTACCAGAAATGTGTGCACATAAATGTCACTGTCATCAGTTTGATAAAAATATGTAATCTGCATTTCCTTTTAAACAAGGAAGAGTTAACTGCAAATTTTAAAGATTTTTTTTTCTAGAAATGATGCACAATGTTCATACAAAAACATAAATTATTGAAAATACCCTTGTCAAATGCTATCATATGATAATTTTGTTGAAATAGTTACATGGCATTTTGTTTTCATACAAATCCTGTTTGAGGGTAGTGTGACTGTGATTGTGTTCTACTTACCACAACAACGGGCAGGAGGACCATGAATAACAGACCGTACACCAACAGGACCTAAGGGAATAGAACGGTATGAGACATTACAGAAATTATCAACTGTACTTATGTAGGTCCTTAACAGACCATAAAACTGCAGGACCTACAATAAGACCATTTTTTATTAAAGAAATTATCAACTCAGGGAAAGGATTTTAACTTTTGAAACAAACTTTCTTACATTTATTTTTTAAAATTCTGTATTGAACATCATTTTGACACAGCAAAATGTGATTAGATAAATCATTTTTATCTAAGTTCAACATTTTGAATTTTAATCATCCTATTGCTGTTAAAAAAAATTCATCTCAGCGAGAGAATACTCTTAAATGAAATTGTAAACATTTGCTAGAAAAATTTAAGTAAAAAAGCATGTATGATATGCTGTATGTACGGTTGAACACGCTTATACTGTAAGGATATGCTTGGGATCAATGATTATGCTATTTATAAGTGTATTTCATTATATCCGTCAAATTTACAATATAAAGTTATTGTAATGTCACAGAGAATTTAAGCATCAATGAATTATAAGCGACTTTGCTAAAACCATGTTTTGCTGTGTATATTTTTATCCTAAAGAATTCACTTTTTATAAATGAAATTTATGAATGAAATTTTTGAAAGAAGAGAGGCCATTTACACTCAGTAAACTGGAAATACTGTACAATAATATCAGACGAACATTTATTTGCATTATTGCATAGAACTATCACAGATTCACTGATAGAATACACTGGACAAGTCTAGGAGAAACAGGCTGAAGTGAAGTAGCAAGCAATAAACATCGACCTTAAAACACACACATTGATTATTCACCTCTCAACCCACGCGACACCACCCCTCCCCCCCCTTGAATAAATTTTCCCAATTTTTCCATTAACCTATTCATGTTCTGGTATACAATATACAGTGTATATACAACTGTACATTAGGTAAATCAACTTTCAAAGATTTATAATATCTTTATCAGTAACACAGCAATGAATCACATGGGAAAAGAGCTAATTTCAGATGAAAGTACCAACACACAAAATTCTCTTCATGAAACTATAAGCAAAGGAAGCAAGAAAACTAGCTTGAATTTATTTTCTTTTGAATAGGACCTATTATTTCCTTAATATGAATACAGTGTACTAGCAAATATATTTATACAAATACTGTAAATCACTTTATTTGCGAGAACTTTATTTTTATGCGAACAAATTTATTACGATAAACAGTGTAATTGCAAAAATTTCATTCTCCCATACACATTGGCAATCCCCAAGATTTAATGGAGGAAAAAGCATTATTCATGACAATTTTGTCCCACTATTACAGAGTTTATGACTATCTTGCGAAAATAATGTGTAGCGAAAATTTAGTGATCCACAGTTACTATACTATCCTACTAATAGCGGTTTCATACCCACTTGGCATTGTGTTTTTCAACCAGCCACTTTGGTAGAGCCCATCCCCAGGTTATGGCTGAAATAATTCAGTAAATCATGACTTTTTATTTAATCTATAAAAACATAAAGTCTGACCTACCCACATAGAATTCTGTTTCTCCACAATCCACTTGGGCAAAGCTATACCAAATCTGGTGACTAAAAAAATTCTTTACATACAGTGAAGTTTAAACACATAAAGTTAACCATTTCTATAATTTCATTCACAATATGCTTTTCAAATAATATAAATTAATAATGAAATAATTGAAAATTTATTCCAATTCTACCATGTCTATTTTCAATACTGGATAATTTTATATTGCTGGTAGATCTTAGATCAATAATTTTTGCTAAATGAAGCTAAGCTTAACATGTTGGCAAATCATATTTATTGTAGACTTCTTTTTTAAACTATGAAGAGCATATTTTTTTAACCCCATTATCTACAGACATAAATCTTACCCCCGGGACCATCTGGGTCACCGCTCTCCTCCCATATCTTCCTTGTTTCTTCATCTGTCAATCTATAAATAGATAAAAGGTCAAGGTTTTATACTTTTACACTGGAAGACCTTGTATAGACTTTGTATAAATATATGCTACAATTTCAGTGTTGATGTGCTGAATTATACAAAAACAGTGTGGATTAAAATAAAGTCGTTCAACTGTATTATTAAACCTTTCAGGCAAAAACATTGTGTGGGTCACAAGTAACTAAGTATTTATATTCAACTTTCTATTGAGAAAGTCATAAAATACAAGCAAATGTATTACATGTTAAGAGACTCAATGGCTAGAAATGCAGAATGATATTATGAATTAAAATTGTGAGGACAATAAATATACAATAAACTTACGCTGTGTAGGCTTTAGCAATTTTCATAAATTTTTTGTGGTCGCCTGTAGGTTTGTCTGGATGGTATTTCAAACTCAGTTTTTTGTATGCCTTTTTAATCTCTTCTTTTGTTGCTCCCTAAAAATAAATGCATTTAGTACACAGAATTTGTTCTAAAAAATGTTTTTCAATATGAAATTAATTTTTTCATTAATCATTCAAAATAGATGTCACCTTTTGCTGTGACCTATTTAACTCTAGGCTTGAGTTGTGACTTAAGTTGTCATTTTGTTAAAAATGTAGATCCAGTTACACACTTACCACATCTAGTCCCAGTTCACCATATGGATCATATTCCTGGTACTCTATATGGATCTGGGAAACCTTGTAAGCCAATAGTGCAAAAATAATCCAGGCTATTATAAAAACCACTTTCCTAAAAGAAAAACACATTCATAGTTATCAATTTAAATGACTAGCATGATTTTAAATTTCATCCTTTACATGAACAGTGCTCCAAGTTGCGACTAAAACGGTCGCATTTGCGAGCCAAAAATTGGTTTTGCAACTAGAAATTAAAACTAAGTCGCATTTTCGCGACTGAGAAAATTTGGGCTGGCAACGTCCATCTTTTTATGATAGGGATCGAGAATTACGTTTTCAAGATTCTCTATCAAGACAACGTTTGAAGATAAATATTTTAACACACTTTATAAAGCGTCTTATGGACTTAGATAACGTAATGTTATGACAGCATGCTGTAATAGTTAAGTTAGATAGAACCAGAAACGTATATACATAACGTTTCTGAGAGAATAGCATCCAAACGTCGTTAACTTTCTAGAGTTTCTCAGAATTGTTATTAGAGCATTTCGGCCAATGGCTTGCATATCACAATTAAGTGTTTTGTGCGGCATTGATAACGACTGAGTTATGGTTAAGATACGTAGTAGTAAACAGGTAAACATGATAAACAATTTGCAAAGTCCTGTCTTAACAACTGTCCTAGTTTTATTTTATTTTGATTAAACTCTAATTCTAGGATCAGATTACTTGTGTTCTTCTTTGTACTATACAAAGGGTGGTTGTATTTAATAAAAATATATCCTTCAACTAGCAAAAAATTTCTAGTCAAAGTAATTAATAATCTTTGATTTAATATAAACATAACACATGTGGAAGTTAGCTCATTGTTTTAATAGTGTTATTTACATGTTTTAATCACGGCGAGTGAAAAATTTGTTTATGGCGACCAGAAATTCTGAAATGGCGACCAAAAATTTTTCTAGGTCGCCATTTAGCGACCTTAAAGTAAGTGCGACTTGGAGCGCTGATGAACATTAACACATGCTATACATGTATCTATATATAAACTGCAAAACTATGTTTTAAATTTTATAATTATAGAAAGTTATTCATTAAATGTAGAAATAATTCATTTTTATCATATCAATATGATCAATGCAGTGTGCGAAATTAACGGTGGACCGGTAGACAATGTCTATAGAAAATCTAGTCGGTCTATACCGATCGAAATATTAATAGACCGACTTGTCTATAGGAATTCTGAGTAAGAAACTGGTTCCCTGCTTGTCTCTAACCTAATAAACAAACCACAAAAAGGAGGACCAGTTTAAATAAAATGTCTGTATTACACTGATGTATTCCGTTCACCCCTTAGTTATAATAGTTTGTTCCACGATATATGCAGAAATAAGTTATTTTTAACATGAGGGGAGGTTAAGTTGTGATTACTTAATGGCCGCGGACACCAAAACAGTGCAGAAGAAACATGTCCTTCTTCGACCGTTTAAAGTATGTTGAGGGTGCACGCCCGGGAATTATTATTACTCATGTCTATCAGGCAGACATTCTCAATGTTTGAGTCGTTTATCAATGCTGTTGTAGTCAGTCGTCTTACCGTGTTTTTTGATTCTTGTTGTAATCTTTTATCCAGTACAAAAACTACTGGAAAGTGTAATTATTTCACCATTTACATCAAATACATTTATTTTAATTTCAATATTTTAGCATTGAATGTAGTATTCTAAATTTCGGTCCATAGGAAGTTGCTGCGGTCTATAGAAAATGAAATGTCTATGGACTGAAAGTCTATAGGACTTTGAAGTTAGTTTCGCACACTGTCAATGAAAATGAAGTATAAACTATGAGCCTCACCAAAATAATGAATGGTTAACTTAGTTCACTTTGATGTTAATTATGTGATAATAACAATATATTCACTTACAAGACTTTCTCTTTCATTCGGTTCCATTTTGTGCTGGATTTTAATTGATGCCGTTTTATCACACAAGGATCGCAGTTACACTCTCTCTTCTTTTTTTCTTTATCATCTAGAAGAAAACAATCAAAGATTTGTGATTCATGTATAACCAACAGCAATTTCAGTACCCAGAGCGTATGTATGGGATATGTAAGTATACTTGAATTAGCACCATATTTTTAACATTTGGAATATTCATTATTCCATCAAGATACAGTTTGTCTGCAGGTGCAGATCCAGGAATTGAAGTTAGACGGGGTGCTAAAAAAATAGGCAGGGGGTCTGGGGGCCTGAATTCTAAAGATTTTGTAGGGTAAACAAGAGATCTACTGAGAATACATATTTACATTTTCTAGACAAAACTGTGATTTACGCTAACTTTTAATTGATAATTTTAGGGGGGCGCCCCCCTTAAATCCGCCACTGGTCTGACATGTTTACCTACTGTGGTATATCTCAAATCTTATCCATCATACATTATAATGTAGCAAACTTAAATTTTCAGACTAGGTATATGGTGAATTTACAATGTTCATGCAAGTAATGCAACCGTTACTACTGTTTCATTTGTTCACAAACCTAAGCAAATTAATAAACATGTTAAAATACTTGATTATACTTGAAACTTCAACACACACTCTAGTCACAATATTCTTGTTTCTATATCATCATAAAATAATATTGTAACAAAATATTCTAATTCTTTCAGAAAACCTCCAAATGTTACTGTAACAGTGTAAGACAAAATGAACAGCTGTGTAATCACCAGGGTCAATTTCTTACCTTCTACAGACTTCCTGGGCCAAAAATAATACGTGGCGGGAATAAGAACGAGGCCCCATAGAGAAAACAAAAAATAGAAGAAGGTTCCTCCTTCCTCGTCGTATTCAAATTGCATCCCAGGCATGTTTATGTCGGTTTTCTGTCTACACCAACGTACACGTCTGTCTAAAAATCAAGCCGGAAGTAGTAATAATTGACGGTTTCCAGTCAGTTTGACCCTGAATCATTTCGAACAGCAGTCACTTCCGCTTTCCTAACTAGAATAGGATAATGTGTTTTACATATGCTTTTTTTTTTTGTAAAGGACTGATACAAGCTAATTTTTGCAATAATTATGAAATTTATGAAAAGATATTATAATATGTGTTTACAGTGGCAACATGAAAAATAATGTTTCATTCAAAGTCCCGAATATCCTTGATGATAAATTTTTATTGATTATGAAATTAATTAATTTTATTTTTTTTATTTTTTTATTTTTTTTTTGCTTGTCAATTTAATTTAGGTAAGTAAAAAAAAATTCTCTGGTGTTGCCCCCCCCTCAACTTTCAAAAACGATGCTACGTGCCTGATTTGTTCAAACCAAAGCAGATATTGGAATATATGTCAAGCCCCCCCCCCCCCCCCCCCCCCCAAAAAAGTAAATAAATAAATACATAAAAATACAATAGATAAAAATAAATTTGTTTTTAACTGTGGTGGTCGAAAGAAGATCGATTCATTCGTTTAGAAGAAATTGATTTTGATTTCCTTTAAACTTTATACATGTATATACGATGTACATTTAGGCCCCCCCCCCCCCCCGACAATTACAAAGCTACCGCTCGCGCGCACCAGAGAGAGAGAGAGAGAGAGAGAGAGAGAGATTTTCAGGGGTATATTTAAAAATACAGACTTTAATTTTAGATAAGAGAACATGCAGTGTCGCCTTTTAAATTACACTCATTGAAAACACTTCTTTGTTTTAAGTGCGTGACAATTCATCCGCACTGTGAATTTAAATAAGGGAAATGTGTTTTATCAATATTTACCGAGAAACCGAGAGCAAAGATTTATTTTTAGATATGTTTTTCTCTTAAATTTTTGAAACTTTATATTTTTTTCCATAAACTTCCAGACAGGTTTCTTTCCTTAGGATATTTTGGACCTTTCTTACTTTTCCCCCTGGATTGTAAAACTTGTGTGTCTGATCTTATCGACTTGATGTTTCGTAAACCTTTGTGATAAACAAGTGAAATGTTTGCATAATTGTGTTTACCATACCAAGGGATTCGAAGAACATGTAGAAAAACAGAAAAAGGACAAGAAGAAGATATAGCTTGAATGGACCATGATGTTACAGCACGTAGAGAAAGGGTTAAATTAAAGAATATGTCGTGAAAATCCCACAGAAAATCAACCTACATGAAAAGGAACTGGTAAACAAAAATTAAATTAACTTTTCAGCATTTAACATGTGTAAAAAAAAAACTAAAAAAAAATATCTCTGTAACATTCACTCACTTTTTTTTTTATAATTACGGAAGTTGAATTTTAATTTGTCTAAGGAATTGAATAGTTTTATACTGTCAGAGTATTCTAATAAGATTCGTTTTTTTTTCTTAAGGTTGCCAGAGGTCTAGAATTTTTTTTCGGCAAATATACACATGTACATGTAGCTCCTGCATGTAAAACTGTGCTACCATCAGTTGTACATTTAGTCCTCTCCCTAATTTTTTCAAAATGTCTTTGGAAAAAAGAATCTTTAAAATAAATGTATGGAAAAAGGAGGTTGCATAGTTAGCGCGGCAACGCCATTTTGATGCTTTGTTTGCAATCACAGATGTCAGTCATAACTGTGGTTCAAAGGATGGGTTGAGATATGGGTAGATGTTCATCCAAACCCTGTTGTGAGATTTCTGACGTCACAACTCTCCCCGAGACCCGCTTGATCAGCGTTCAACCAATCGTTGACGAGGATTTGGCGCCAATACCGCCGAGTCTCAGAAGAGATGATGTCATCTCCGATCTATCGTTGTTCAAAAAAGTCGACAGCTACGCTGCAAAAGTATTTTGTTTATATGTATTTTTAAAGAATGTATCGTTCATCAAGACAATTTGCCATAAGAACAAATGCAAATATGATGCATTATTATTTGTAAATTCTGAAAATATATGATACGTGTGCATGCACAAATAATAAAAAAAAATTATTCACAATTAGAAAAAAAAACATCAGCATTTTTTCATTTCGCCGATAGAAGTTATAAAGGGGAAAATGAGAATCTTTTGTCGTTCTTCATATTGAATTAAAAAAAAAAGATTAGTACATTTGCTAGAAGTGAAAGAAAAAAGAAGTGTCTTTACAGTAAACCTCACAAAATCAGCTACAAACACAGAGAGCGGTCACAACTTGAAGTATGAATAATTTCTTGATATACTTAATCTTGACATAGGCTCCCAAATCAACCGATCTTTCCATCCATAACCTCGCCAAGTATTTGTCTAAGGCGTCTAAGACCAACCTGGGACGAGTTCGGGCCTACTACCATTGGATATGTAACCACGTGGAGTAAGTCAAGATCCTTTATACTCAGTATATTTTAGCAAAACTAAAGGGAAGTATTTACATGTATTTGTTAAAAACATAAAAAACATTTAAAAAAAAAACAAATCATGTTCAAAGAGAGATAACTTCTTACAACTAATCTGTTGAATATTTGGAGTTACCTCTCTTCTCCCATATTAATTAAGAGTGTTCGAAAAGATGCGTTATCTGCATGTTTATACCATCAACCTAAGTCTTTTCTGCAAATACGTACTAGAAGCACATGCAGTTACTGATTATTTGAAATTTAACTGATTTTTTTATGCAGGAATTCGTTGACATGTATTTTACAGACTTGATCTTCGGTCCTTCTTAAATAACTACAAGAAGCCTGTGGCAGCGGAATTTACAATGCACACAAAAGTGGCCCTTTGCTATGGATATGCTGAACTGTTTGCGGAGTTATGCAGGTATTTTTGAAAGGCACTAGACCACTGTTCCAAATCATATGATCACATTTATTTCGTTGAAAGCGTTTGTACTTTCTATTTATAGATTATCAAACATTCCTGTCAAAACTCTTCACGGATTTGTAAAAGGTTATGGATATAACGCAACAAAACCTTTTAAGTACGCACAACCAACCAATCACGCTTGGAATGCAGTTCACGTGGTCGGGCAATGGTGTTTGATTGACTGTACCTTAGGCGCAGGGCACGTGAATGACGAGGGTCATTATACCAGGGACTTCGAAAACTTTTATTTCCTTACCGATCCCGACCAGTTGATTTCTACCCATTTTCCCTACATGGACAACAACAAAAAAGAAAGCAAAGCTTGGCAACTTCTTCAGAAACCTTTGACATTACAAACGTTTAATAAGAATGTAAAAAGGACGATAAAAGCCTTCAAGTGGGGCGTGGATCTAGTTTCTCATAGACAGGCTGTGATCCAGGTGACATTGACGGCCACTGTGTTTATAAAAGGGACGACAACAATGTAGCGGCACGTTTAACGGACACAGACGGTAATGTTCATAAGCAGTATACATTAGTGCAAAATCCAGACCAGAACTTATTTTCCATTCGAGTACGTCCTCCAACGATGGGTAAGTTTCGGTTGACAATTCTCGGAAGTATTGACCAGAAGGACACGACACTTTATGCACTTGTGTCATACATATTGCGTTGTAGGCAAACAGAGCAAAAGGTGTATTTATATCCCAAACATACCGGGGTCTGGAGGTCAAGGTCTGATTACAGAGATTTTGGATTTCAAACCGGTGTGGATTCACCTCTTATAATAACCCCAAAAGATGGCATTTTAGAGTTGACTTTACCTATAGAAAGAGATTTCCCTGTTTCATATAGATTAAGTTACTCTGAAGGCACACTGAAAAACATAGAACGCTATGTGTTGGTAGAAAACATTGGAAATGCAATATCCATACGTGGTCACTTTTCAGAGAAAGGATTCTATAAATTACAAATCTTTTGTAAAGCAAAATCAGGGGATTATGAGCCAGTTCTTTTGTATTTGATAGACTGTACTAAAGATGCCATGAACCACTCTGTACCATTTCCAGTTATGTACTCCTCCGCCTCAGAATATCACTGCCAGCTTCTGGAACCATTAACACGTGAATTGCCGGAAGAGACGTGGATAAAAATAAGGTTTCGGTCAAGTGACATCATCAAAGCAGTCGTAAATGGAAGAAAAATTGAAAAAGGAAATGGTGACGTTTGGCGAGCGGCTGTCCGAACTTCCACTGCCGGCGGAAGTGTGCGAGTTGCCGGAACAAGCGATTCTAAGGGCCGCTATTGGGTGCTATACGAATTTAACGTAGTCAAGGGAGCTAATTCTCTGGTGCTTGAGGATGTTTTGACGGCTCGGTCTATCACGTCACAACCTCCTACGACCCAACGATCAGAGAAGCAATCAAAGACACCAAACCAAAAGGGCATCCTTAAGAGACAAATCAAAGAGAAAACTGTAATTATTTCAAAATGAAATGTATTATTCGTTAAAAAAGACATCGATATGAAGACATTAATATGTGATTCATACTGTAAGCTAATAAATTTTCTGTCTCGCTGACGAAATACATTAACTCCATATGCGACGAGAAATAGCAGCCCGAAACAGAGAACAGTTTCCCAGATAGCATGACTCCTTTGGGCCAACGCTGGTTTTTGGTTGTATGGTTGGTGGAGTGTTGGCGTTGGGGAACAGATGTAGGCCCAACGTTGGTCCAACGTTCATTTACGTTGGCATGAAAGCTAAACCAACGGTGTTGGACATGTGATATTGGCCCAACGTTGGTCCAACGTTCATTTACGTTGGCATGAAAGCTATACCAAGGGTGTTGGGCATGTGATATTGGCCCAACGTTGGTCCAACGTTCATTTACGTTGGCATGAAAGCTAAACCAACGGTGTTGGGCATGTGATGTTGGCCCAATATTGGCCCATTGTAGTTACATGTTGACAAGAAACATAGCGATTTGGTGTTGGACATTAAGATGTTGGCCCAACATAGGTCCAACCGAGTAAATGTTGACATGGATTAAGACCATTGTGTGTTAAATATGAAATGTTGGCCCAACGTCCCAGCAGGCACGCAACGTTGTTTCAACGTTGAAAGGAGGTGGAATATAGGTTGCAACGTTGATCAACTATATTTCAACGTTGTTTCAACGTTGAGGTTTCAACGTTGAATCCTCAACCTTTTTTCAACGTTGAAACAACGTTGAAGCTGCAACATATTTTCAACGTTGAATGATCGTCGGTATTTCAACGTTGAAACAACGTTGAAGCTGCAACATATTTTCAACGTTGAATGATCGTCGGTATTTCAACGTTGAAACAACGTTGAAGCTGATATTTCAACGTTGAAACAACGTTGAAGCTGCAACGTATTCTCAACGTTTGATGTTCATTGATATTTCAACGTTGAAACAACGTTGAAGCTCAACGTTGAAACAACTTTGAAGCTGCAACATATTTTCAACGTGGAATGCTTGTCGATATTCAACGTTGAAACAACTTTGAAGCTGCAACAAATTCTCAACGTTTGAACTTTATTGATATTTCAATGTTGAAACAACGTTGAAGATTCAACATGTTTTCCACGTTCAGTATTTTCTGATACTATACAATTGAAACAAGGTTTAAAAATGCAAAGTTGACTGTTTGTTGGTTTCAACGTTGAAACAACGTGGAAGATCTAACATATTTTCAACTTTAGGAAAGTTAGGAAAACAACGGGTAATGAGTATTGAGCACTTTAGTTTTTAAGGTCAAAATATAAAGTGTCTTTAACTCTTAATTTATGCGATTTTTCGCAAGATACACAAAGCTGTATGCATTGTTAGAAAATATTATATATATAATTATACATAATAAATGAAACACATGCAATTTGAATTGATTTACTCAAAAGAGTTGTGCCAGTTCAGCTAGTACCATTGTAAAATTTAAATAAATTGTGAATGCATTTTTTTTTAAATATGTTGAATATAAGCTTTTAATAAATAATGACATCTTTATCCATTATCTCACTGTAATTCCATGTTACATTAGAATTAATAAAAATAATTATTTATTCTTAATTAATGTTCTTAAAATTAGACTCATATAGATCCGTGCAGTATACTCTTGTGCAAAATGTTATACAAAGCGAATCTAAGAAGTCTTATTTTACAGATTGTGCTTTTGTTGTGCATATTAATTCTATAATCTTTCTTTTCACAAAATATATAAAAGAAAAATTCAAATAAACACATAACAATTTTCACACTGACAAATAGCATTACTTAAGATCCACTCCCCAAAAACCTTCGAGATATCAGATAAGGAGTGCCTCTCGCTTAGTTGGTCAGTTTCAGTGTCAGGATAACCTTGTTATGCAATTTTCTTGCTGGGCAGAGTATAGCTGCAGCTTATCTAGGTCAAAATTTGAATTCAACTGATGGACAAGAAGTGCGCGTCTCCTTGCTGTTCATATTTCATGTGTTTTCAAGCTACATAAACAAGGATTTAGGCTGGAATATCAACTTCTGCTTAGTAAGTATTATTTCCTTTTCATGAATTTAGGAAAATAAGTTTATTTAGTATCTGTATATCATTTAATTCTTGTTTTATAAGTACATGAAGTATATGTGAAATCTACGTGAAATGCACGTCCTTGTTACATGTATTATGTGTATTGTTGATATTTATTTGGTTATGAAATATAAGTATACTAAAATATTATACAATTTAATTAATTGTAGTTCATCGTATGGTTCAATCAACCAGTGGTGCAGGGAATTGATTGTATATAGTCAGCCTTGATTGCATCAGATTCTTCGCCCGTGAAAATTATACAAAGGAATGCAACATTTTGTAAGTACACTATGTCTATGTATGTCTATAACATTTACTTTAGTAATAATTATTTATAAGCATACTAATACGAATTTTAATATGAAGTTAACTATAATTCTTTTTAATCATGTTAAGTACAGGAAAATATTCCTTTGTCTGATTTTTTAAAATTATTCATGTATATTTATTTTTATCGTTTCAAATAACGTGTTACGTACATTGTAACGAACAAATTTCTTTCACATCTTTATTTCTTTTATTAATAGGCTTTTGCTATAGAGGGTGGATTCTCCCGTTCATTTCTTTCAATCGTGGGATTTAACTACAGATGTATATGCGTGATTAAAATCAATGGATCCGCCACTTTGTGGAACTTAGTAGTGTAAGAAAGACGCATACTTTGAAGAACCTTGATGTGATAACTGTGACCCCCTTTTCACTAGGAATATAAATTTTGTCAGGCAGTGATTTTTGAGATTCAGTGATTGAATCTAAATTTGTGTTTATCTTTAAAAATACAAACTAAAGTGAATTCTCTCACAATCGTAATACTGGATTATAACTTATATAAATATTACGCAACTTGAATAAAAAAAAATTATTAGAATTTGAAATGCATTTGTTTATAAAGTAAAACGTAATATGAATTCAACGTGGTTTCAACCAAATATCAACATTTGACAACCAAAAAATTTCATCCAAATCTCAGCCTGATTACAACCAATGTTCACTTTTGTTCAATGTTGATATTTGACGTTGAAACAACGTTGAAGCTTCAACGTTGCATCAACTTTCATTTGCAACCAAAAATCAACCATAAATCAACCAAAAATTCAACCTATTTTAAACGTTTATTCAACGTTGAAAATTGACGTTGAAACAACGTTATGTTTCAACGTTGCCTCAACTTTCATATGCAACCAAAATTCAACGTTGATTCAACGTTGAAGTGCAACGTTGATTCAACGTTGAATCAACGTTGAAATGCCTGCTGGGGTAGGTCTAACTGAGTATACACGTTAGTGGCAAGACATTGCCACTTATTGTTGGTTATTTAATGTAATTGGCCCAACGTTGGCCCAATTTAATAAATGTTGACAATATAATGATACATTGCTCTGTGTTGGGCGTGCTTGACTGAACTGGAGTTGGTCCAATAGTAGGAATACTGGGATTACTAGTACATGTACAGGTAGCCTGTAATGTTTGAGATGAAATGCTGGTCCAACGTTGGCCCAATGTTGCGAAAAGTATTCATCAATTTAGATTTATCTATTGTAAATCGATGGTAATGTAATACGCAACTCATTATAAACATGTGATCTATAATATATATTGAATGGAAATTATGAGACAATCCTTATAAGTCTGTGAAATACATATAGTAATTTTATATCTTGGTAGATTCTATATTAAGCATCATTGAATCAAATTTAAAGTGCTGTGTTTTGCAAGTTTGGGGCTCCAAAATAAATAGGTCACTGGTGAAATTCACTGGCTCGGCAGGTGACTCATAGGTCTCCAAGGAAACCGTCATCTTTAAATCAGTTTTTTTTAACCGCACACTTTAACAATTCAAAGCGTATGTGTCTGTTTAAGTGAAAGCAAGAATTTTAATCCTTTCAATGTAAGTATAGCTTTTGTTTTTGTTATTGAAATAATTAATAATGTGAAATACACAACATTGTAATGGCCTGCATGTAGGCTTTCAAATTATTGGTACCAGGTAGCTGATTAAACAATTGTAATTGATGACGACCTTAACTTTTATAGGAATTGGCGGGCTTGAACAGAGCAGATATGTCCGGATCTGTAAATGAACGCAAGAATGTTAACCAGTGAAATGTAACTATTTTGTATTTGTTATTAATAATTACTAATGTGAAATTCAATTTTAAGGATTCCTTTAAAAATATGTGTGATGCTGATGAACATTTGAAAATACTATTTTAATTGATGACAATCTTAACGTTTGAAGGAATTGCCGGGATGGAAAAACCCTCTTCACTCTGAGACTATTGATGTGGCATTTCTGTATATGGAAGGGACTGATTTATATGTGTGGGAAACATGGATTCTAAGAACAGATAAACAACAGAAAAAGTGATCAGTGATGCAAATATGTCCTTTCAAAACTCTACAATTAGAACTTGAAGACTCTTATATCAAAGTGATATTTAGTAGTGGACATAGTGATGTGGAGTGTACTTGAGAAACATTGAACTTTCTACCTCTTCCTTCTTTTAGTTACATTCCATGGAATACTTTAATGAAAGTGAAAGTGGCAAAGAATATATTGTGATACATTTTAGGAGGAAAAAAGTATTTGACCAAACATGGTGAAATTAATTGTGTCGTATAATCTGGGAAATAAAAATGACAGAATTTAATTAATTTTGTAAGACATTTGTATTGAGGAATAATTGTGTCATTGATATTTCAAGAATCAGCTTTGTATCAACGTTGAACCAACGAAATAACTATATTTTGAACTGAGGTCCAATGTAGGGCCAACGTTACAAAATATTTGGTTAGCATCGGTACGTTGGAATAGCGTTGTACCAACGTTGGCATTTCAACAAAAGCGTTGTACCAACGTCGGACCAACGTCATGATTATATTTTGAACTGAGGTCCAACGTTGGGCCAACGTTAAAAAAATATTGCGTTGGCGTTGGTATGTTGGAATAACGTTGTACCAACGTTGACAAATGAACAAACAGTATTGTAACAACATCGGCCCAACATGTTGGGCCAACGGCGCGCCAATGAGCAGTAAGACATTGGGCCAACGTAAAACTGCCAACATTGGCCCAACATAACCGACATTGTTTGGCCAACGTTGGGCCAATGTTCTCATGCTATCTGGGTTAGCAGTTGACCATCCATTCACGTAGAATGGGCATATATGGATCTTCATCAGGTCTATTATAACGATTTTTTGCTATTCATTCATTGAAAATTATGGGCGCGCTTGATTTGTCTACACCTTATTACACCCGGTGTAGACGATTTACACCTTATAATCAAATGAAATTGGGTGTAGTGTAGTAAATTCAACATGGACGTCAAAATTTCAAGTAACTGAGGGGGCTATTTGCAGACGATTTTATAATAAAATATTTGTTGCGAGTGTGAATATTCTTTTAAAATTCCTTTAAAAACAAAACATTTTACAAAATGCAAAGAATTTTTTATTAGATATTGTCCCAGCTGTCCATAATTACCCCTATAACTTAATATCTAGCCATTGTCAAATATATCTAGAGACTTTATCACCCAAACTTGCAAAATTTGCTTACTTTTTTTTTTTTTATTTTACAAATTATGAAGTTTTTTTTATTTTTCCATAAAATGCACAAAAATGGGCCACTATATTACTAAAAACAATTCATCACAATGAACCTATAAAATAATTGACAATTAACTCAAATACAGAAAAGAATTCTGCAGTTTTACCGTTTCGTCATTTGTCAGCCATATTGAATTTTTGGTGTAATTACCTACACATGCCCTGCACAGGGTGAAGAAGGTGCACACCAAAAGTGTACACTTTTGCACTTGATTATGAAAAAGTGTACAACGGGTGTAAGGTGTAGACAAATCAAGCGCGCCCTATGTTAGAGCACTGTTACACTTGTAATATCATCTTTGTGCAATGTTTTTATTTCATTCTCTAAAAGCTACACTTGTGTTTAACCCTAACCCTGATGTTTATTCAGCAATAAAGTTTTTGCATCCTGTCCATATCTGACTTCACAACACCCTCTGACTAGTTACTGCTTCAAACCTTAACCTGATTTGTTTCATTTTACACCATAACATCTTCCAGTTGATAAATCACTAGACTTAGTCATGTAAGTGGTGTCCTTCTTTCTGCGTCAAACCTTGATAATAATAATCTTTTATTGTTCTAAGGTCTCTCGATACTCTCCCCAAGCACGTAAAAGACACCCAACTTCGTACAGCTGATTCTCTTTGAATCTTCTCTCCTTTTTCACTACGTCACTAATTTTCCTCAAAAGTACAATGGAACAAAACAAATTGGAGCCACATCAAACACGGATCCCCCTTTAAAATATCATTATTGGAAACAGGTACTATTGTGAATTAAGCATCCAAAGTCGATTGTTTATCCGGCCCTGTGGGTCCTGTCATGATCGGGAGAACAGAAAGGATGCCAGTGTACTTCACACATCCTTTGATATCTTTGGTTCCATTGTGGTTGAAGTGCTGATGTATTTTTTTCTGAAATCTGCCGTCTTTGCTAACACTGATAGGTAGATATTTTGTCCTGGGCTGCTTGTTTTGGAGTTCTCCTTTGGAACGAAGTATCTCTGGCTATACCGCCCTAAAACATCATTATTTGAATGAGGTACTATATAGATAAGCAACCCCTGTCAACTGGTTACCTGGCCCCATTAATCTAGTCCTGTCACGAAAACAGAATCTCTAGACTATTCAGTGTGAAAATAACAACGTAATCATTTGAAAAATGCTAGTCAGCACTGGACTAAAGGAACAAGCCATTATTTCGATCATACAATTGGCGAAATGCTATCTTACATAAACAAGGTAATAGTTTTGCCATTGTCAACTTATTTGTCAGTAACTTGTTTTAGATACAGTATTTTTTCCTACGTAGGGCATGCTTTCGTGCATCCAATTGCAATCAACTTGAATACATTAATTCTATCTACAGGTGATAATGGTACAATATGACCAAAACTGTATAATAAGCGAAGTTGACAACAGAAATGCTGTTTCAGCTTTTCGTCAGCTGTTCATGTTAATTTGCTATAATAATTATGAAAACTGATATGCTAGAAACTGTGGTGGCTTTTTTGCTCGAGTTCACCGAGATATGTCAACATCTGAGAAGGAATGAAAATCAACACTGTCAGGTAATTTTAATTCCTGATCAATGTTGACGTATTGAAAAGGGAAATAACTCAATTCTCCTTTGAAAAATATGTGAACTTCTCAATAAAATTCTCCTTTTCATGCATGCTTTCTAGGCTCATGATTAGTATATGGCATTTCTATTTTTTTGCCAGTAGTTTTTAAGTTTGTAAATAAAGATATCATAAGAATCATTTGATTTCAGTAATTTGATAACTGATGGATATCTTGCATAGGAAAAGTAAACCTAAACATTTAATTTTGAAATTTTTTGGACCTGAGAAACTGAAAAAATTATTCAAATTAAAGACCACGGCAAAAGTCTTCTCTTCATGTAGAAGTTTTGAATTTATTCTGCATCAGATGAATACATTTAAAGCAAATATTCATTAAAATTATATAAAGTGGCAGTAAATATTTATTTAACATACAGGTATATCAATGTTATTAAAAATGACAATTTTGAGGTAAAATTGTTTTACAAACATAACAATTATGCTTATAACAAGAGGCCCAAGGGCCTTGAATCGCTCTTCTGATAAATTGTACAACCTATCACTTGTATTTGAAGCCTCTAACCCTAAGTATCCTATTAAAGACCCAAGTTGCATCACCTGACAAAGTTTGATGATTCTTAGCCAATTAGAACTCCTTTTTGGTCTACATTCTTGGAAATCACAAAATGCATCAAGTGACAAAGTTTGACAATTCTAAGCCAATAAATACCTGAGATATTCAAAAGTAGGTCACTGTGACTTACTCTTTGGTCAACATTCTCAGAAAACCCAAGATGCATCAACTGACAAAGTTTGATGATTCTTAACTAATAAGTACCAGAGATACTTAAATATAGCCATAAAATGTCGAAAGTAGGTCATTGTGACCTACATTTTGGTTGACATTTTTTAGAGTCCCAAGATGCATCTGCTGACCAAGTTTGATAATTCTAAGCCAATAAATACCTGAGATATTCAAAAGTAGGTCACCATGACCTACTTTTAGGTCGACATTCTCCGAAAATCCATGATGCATCAACTGACAAAGTATGATGATTCTAAATCGATAAGTACTAGTGATACATAAATATAGCCATAAAATGTCAAAAAGTAGGTCACTGTGACATACTTTTTAGTCGACATTCTCCGAAAACCCAAGATGCATCAACTGACAAAGTTTGATGATTCTAAGCCAATAAGTACTGGAGAATACTTAAATATAGCCATAAAATATTGAAAGTAGGTCATCGTGACCTACATTTTTGTTGACATTTTTTAGAGTCCCAAGATGCATCTGCTGACCAAGTTTGATAATTCTAAGCCATTAAATACCTGAGATATTCAAAAGTAGGTCACCATGACCTTCTTTTTGGTCGAAATTCTCCGAAAACCAAAGATGCATCAACTTACAAAGTATGATGATTCTAAACCAATAAGTACTAGAGATACATAAATATAGCCATAAAATGTCAAAAAGTAGGTCACTGTGACCTACTTTTTGGTCGACATTCTCTGAAAACCCAAGATGCATCAACTGACAAAGTTTGATGATTCTAAGCCAATAAGTGCCAGAGATATTTAAATATAGCCATAAAATGTCGAAAGTAGGTCACTGTGACCTAATTTTTGGTCGTCACTATCCGAAAACCGAAGATGCATCAACTCACAAAGTTTGATGATTCTAAGCCAATAAATACCTAAGATACTTAAATATAGCCATAAAATGTCGAAAGTAGGTCACCGTGACCTACATTTTGGTTGACATTTTTCAGATTCCCAAGATGCATCTCCTGACCAAGTTTGATGATCATAGGTTTAAAGGTAATCAAAATATGCCTTTTAAAGAATTTGAAAAATGCCTGCAAAATTCTAAAAGTAGGTCACAGTGACCTACTTTTTCTTAAATATGTTTTAAGGTCCCATGATGCAGCAACTTACAAGATTTGATGATTCTAACCCTTTCAGTGCCTGAAATAATGGGATTAAATGTTTTGAAAAGGATAAGTCATAAAGTTCAAAAAGTAGGTCACGGTGACCTACTTTTAAGTTGACGTTGTTCAAGGACCCAAGATGCATCAACTGACTAAGTTTGATAATCATAGGCCTTAAAGTATCCAAAATATGCCTTTAAATCAATTTGAAAACAAATGCCCGCAAAATTTAAAAAGTAGGTCACCGTGACCTACTTTTGAGTTAACATGATGTGAAGTCCTAAGATGCATCAACTTACAAGATTTGATGATCCTAGTCCTTATAGTAAGCAAAATATGAACATTTTTATTAATTGTAAATTAAGGTCAACTTTAAAGTGACCTTGAGACCACGCCCTTTGCCCCAGGGTCATGCCTTGAACAATTTTTAATCTTCAACATATCCTGATCCTTGTATGTAAGTTTGGTGAAAATCTGCCCGGTGGTTCTGGAGAAGAAGATTTTTTAGCAACCAGTGCTTTTGGTTTTGTTTTCCTGATTATCTCCCCTTGATTCAGGGTCCCAACCCTTATTTTAGTATAAATGGTAGCCCTTGGGCCAAGGATACCCTGTGACAAATTTGACACTGATTGGCCAAGGGGTTCTTGAGTTATGGCCCATATTCTAAAAAGTTAATGCACACCGCACACCGCACGACGCACACCGCACACCGCACAAAAGGCCATAGCATTAGCTCTTTGAGCCTTTGGCTCAGAAGAGCTAAAAATACTAAATACATGTAAGTAAAACAAAGATATGACACTTTAAAATCATTCATCTTTAAAATGCAAAAATGCATTGTATGTTTCAAAACAAAAACGAATTCTCATGCTGTTTTTAAGCTTTTCAAGCAAAACATTCTCCCAGATTATGAGTAACATAGAACCAAAAAAACTACATACTACATTCAAAGGAAAAAACAAAACTAGACTGTACATTCACTTTCACAGAAATGAGTCTATGAGAAGTATCGATAAAAGTTTCAAAGCAAGGTATTAAGTGGAATTTGGTTTATATCCACATACTGACTCATCCACTTCCTTCAGTATCACAAAAAAATAATTTTTTCACAGAAAGAAAATGCTGTCTGGAACTCAATTCTATCTAGTACGGTACTAGTACACAATTGTTTGTAAGCTATCTCCAAACTTTCCTGTCAAACTGTTTCTTTCTCTGACCTAATTTCAAATTCAAGACAATCATGCTCTTTGTACTGATCAAAGCTATTTAGCCTCTGACTTGTTTTTTTCTGCAAAACACTGTAAAACACCATTATCTTTTACCATGCTAAAACATCTGCTGTCAACCACCAGTAATCTATCCAGTCCTATCAAACTTTCTTCCTCTTGAGCTGTTTCTCTTTAGCCAGGTAGTCCTCCTCTGTTAGTCTGTACCCCCAGTGTTGTAGGGTCTGTCTGACCACGGGGGATATGTTGGGGTCATTATACCGTGCCCCGCTGCGGTAACACTTGGAGATGAGGTTGTTTTTCCACCTTCCTGTGGGTCCTGCACACCTCAACCATCTCCCAACCTGTCGCTCATCATCAGGGGTCCTCCTTCCTCGATAGAATCTACAGTGGAAATTGCTTCAGTCAATAAGATGGGTTTAAAACTTGTTTTATCAATTGATTTGAGTGTTTCTAGTTTTCAATATTGAAAAAGGTTTTGCAATCTTTGTCCACATCATCAAATGTACCAGGTAATAATTATTAGTAAAAACTCAAAATATTGCTGAGCAAAGGCAGAAATTTCATTTTATACATGGTTAATATCTTGTCAAAAACTGAGAGATTTTTGTTTATTTGTGGAAAATCATTGCATATTTTAAGGATGTGCCACTAGAACCACCTGTACACGTCATTTCATACATACCTTCAGTGCCACTGGAACGACCTGTATACATCATTTCATACATACCTGCAGTACAACTGGACCCATCTGAACAGATTAATTTATATTTACCTGCAGTACCATTGGAAACACCTGTTAAGACTAATTTGACATTTCATACATACCTGCAGAACCACTGGAACCAGCCGTAGGGGTCTTGTTTGTGGATCCACCCACTCTCCTCCCACATCTCCAGACTTCCCCCACACTTCACCTTGTAGGTATTTACTGACTCATTGTAAGATGAAGAGGTTACCTGTCAAATAAGATACCAATCACTTAATGATTAATAAAAGAGTTTACCTACATTATGCAATTTATACATCAATAAAAGCAATTACAGTGATACATGTACATAGTGAAAATACCTGTATGCACATCAAAACAATGTTCTTTCTCTCTATTTGATAGAAATTAATGACAAAATTATTGATTTTCCTACATGTCTAATTCTTTTATTCTAATTTTCCAGGATCCACTGTTGAATTATTAAATTTACGAAAATAATATCCTATAGCCGTGATTGTATTCTATTTCTAATTACAAGTACATTGCAGTTTGTATTTATTCACCTGTTTTTTGATGTTAAGACCCTCTGTCCAGTCTGTGGGGAGTTCTTTGAAGGCTTCATCTTTATACTGTTTACCTGAAGTAACAAAGTCAAGTCATCATGGACCTGCATGTTTCAAGTGGATCTTTTGACTCATTTTTTGTTGCCATTCCTTGTTGTATAGTGTTTTAAGTCTCAGTTTGACAAAAATCACAGTTTTATTTTTGTTTTCTGTTTTTTTTTTTCTTTTTTTTTCTATCATAAGCAATAATGCATTATAGCACCAAATAAAACATGTGCAGGATAGACTGTTGGGTGCATTTTGAGCACCTTGAAAACAAATCAGAAGAGTGTCTGACAGTTGTGTCTGTTCAAATGTCTTTTGATGACCTTTCATTCTAGTGTAGACTTCTGTCTAGATACAATTTACTTTTCCCAAATAATTTTTCATTTACAAAGGCAAACTTTAAATTTATAATTTACATGTACATGTATTATAGTACGCCACATTTTTTTCTTTACAAGTATAGAATGCAGCTTGTAAATTGTAATACTCTGTTCAGTTTTAACATTATCAATATGTTCATTGTGATATTATTTTCACAATATCAAACAAAACTTAAAATAGTTCTCACCTGTAACAGATGATTTGATTGGACGGAAGTAAGTTCCGCCAAAACTGCCTGCCTGTAGAACTTCTTTGGGTGTCATATTCGGATGGAATTCTGGGAAATCATGAAAAACGAGTTCTCCTTTCTTGTTCCGTGTTGGCTCCTTTGCTGTGTATTTAATTTCTCCTGTCTATTGATAAAAAAAATAATTCATTTAATTAATATATCTATATAGTAAAAATTAAAATGTCTTTTTTTCCGTATCATAATAAAATAAGACAATATGTTGCTGACCATGGTTTTAAGATTAGAATGTTGTACAGTACATATCGCCCATTTATTTAATAGTAGCACACTGTGTGCACAGGAGAAATATGAAACTACATTTATGTAATGCATTTAAATTTTTAAGTAATCATTTACCAGACAGCATTTACAATATGTAATATGAAACAGAGAAACTTTTTTTCTTTTAATTTCTTGTTTTCAAAAATACAATACAAAGAATTTATTAATTAAATTACTAAAATAGATTAATAAGATTTTGCTCTAATATCATACATGTCAGTAAATGTAAATTAGGGAAAAAGATTTTACTTTAACTTTATGCTACTTGATTGTATATTACATGTATGGCAAAACAGACTCATGCGAACAGGTAGATAGGGCGAACAGACCTGATACCACACTACTTACAGTTTCTTTGTTTGTTGCTGGGTCCACTAGTTTTGGGTAGGATTTTTTCTGCTTGCTGCCTTTAGTTTCTTCTTCATCATCTGCTATTGATTTGTTTTTCTTGGAGACTTTACTCTGTGACTTCCCCTCGTCTGAGGATGCCTTTCTCTTGGGCATGTTTACTGCTTTATTAAAAAAAAGGGATTGTAAGAAGTATTATATCACAAACAAATATAATCTCAGCGAGATGTCGTAGGGACTCTCTCGCTGAGATTTACTCAGAACAAAAATGAAAAGTAATATACCATTCTATTACAGTAGTTACATGTATTAGTTATTACACAGCCAGTGTGTACCTGAAATCAAGTGGATACAATAGAACTGCACCGGAATTGAATTCCGGTTAACTTGATTGTAATTCCCAGTCTAGTCGAACCCTCAAACGAGGGTAAATGGATGTTGGACATCCGTACCCTCAAACAGGGGTACAGCACATGCGGAGACACTCAAAAAGTGTCGTTTTCACGGAAAAAACGTGTGGTCCACAAAATATGCTCGTGCAAAGTGATGGATTATTTTGTAGCTCTGTATGTACTCAAATTTGATAGATTAAAGATGTTTAAAGAGATTGTATTGCGAAAAAGTATATGTTTATTGTAAAAATCCAGACTTTTTCTCTCCCAAATTTAGCGTATTCTGTGCCTTGACCTCCATGTTTGATACAACTAGATTTTTTATGCATAATTTAATAAAACGGATGTATAAACAAGCAGTGTTTGGTTTAAAGTTAAACTACATATAATTCCATTCCCCGGTATTACAAATTTTGTGTAATGAACATGTTATTTATTATTTTTCGACATGTTCTTTTGTGCCCTGCGAATTTCCTCTGTCTTGTAAACAAACTTTTGTGTTTCAGAAATGAGGTAAATAAAAACGAAAATTAATGTATGAAATTTATTGAAAACAAAGTGTAAACGAATCATTTTTGCATGTTTGTGATTTTTTTTTTAAATATTTTTTTTAAAAAAAGAAGAATTATCGTTCTTGAATTTCACTTCGGCTTTCGCGCGTTGCATTAAGGGAAGGAAAACCCTCGTTTGAGGGTTCGACTAGACTGTTTCCGCCAATTCCGAAAATTCAAGCTACTAATCAAGCAGCTGTGTAGGAAGCTACGGGTCTATGACAGGTGATCGAAAGACAACTCACCGAACGACAACTCGCCGACACTTTTTTCACCGACACTGTAAAACTCGCCGATACGACAAGTCACCGAAAGACGTGTGTACATCATCGACAGAAAATATAAAACATGGAAATTTAAAAAAATATTAAGAGAAATTTATGTATGTGAATAAACGTTTTTATTCATTTCAATTTTTTTTTTATTAAATCAAAAACCTCACCCAATATTGCCGACCTATGACCTTGCTCGGATTCACGAGAAGCAATCTATACATATGCGTAAGACCAACAATCATTATGATGGATATACAAATGTAACAGGAAAGGAGAAAATCCATGACTGGACCGGGAATCGAACCCGGGACCCCTGTATCACTAGTCAGGTGCTCTACCGATTGAGCTATCCAGGCCGATATCCACGGCCCTAACCATTACATTCCTCCTTCCTTAAAGGTCTTTGGCCCTCCAAAGACCCCAACCCAGGCTCATCCCTGGCAGGTCTTTCACCTGTCAATTCCAGGGCATGGCACGGCACCAAATCTGTAACAGGAAAGGAGAAAATGCATGGCTGGACCGGGAATCGAACCCGGGACCCCTGTATCTCCAGTCAGGTGCTCTACCTACTGAGCTATCCAGGCCGATATCCACAGCCCTAACCATTACACAAAAAAGACAAAGAATTACATATATCTTTGATTATGTTTATTATATCTGAATACTTAACACAACATCTAACAATTATTTTATATGAATTTCTACTCGCCGACACTATTGTCGGTGAATTGTACATTCGGCGAATTTCACTTTTGTCGGTGACCTGTCTGTCGGTGAGTTGTCTGGAACCGGGAAGCTACACGAAGTGCTACAGTTAAAATATAATTTTGCTTCTTTATTGAAGATTTTATTTACGGGATGTTTCCTCCAGAATATATAACACCCTTTCAACATAAAAATCCTAAATTATAATTACCTGTAACACTTTGAATTGGGCCTAGAATGGTTGGAAGAACGCTCTGGAGACTCAAAAATCGCGGTTGCATAAGCACAAGAAGTGACAAAGGCATAAGAATTGAAGGGCCGATCTCGAGAGAATGATTAATTCCGGAATTCATGTACTGACAATATCTATCGCAATATGGTTTTCACTCGCAATACCCAACTCTAGTAAAAACCGTATGATCAGATGAGTGTGAAAACATTTTTCTTTTGTATAATATGAAAACAATACAGGTATAAACAAGACAATGAATTTATTACAATGTAGAAGAATGTTTATGAAGTTACGTACGAGGTACATGTACCATTAATACTTTATAAAATAAAAAAAAAAAATTATGGAAGGTTAGGTTCCTCTATTCGAAATCACTATAATATTTGTTTGTCATGAGGGAAACTTTGTTTTCAATATTATTTAGAATTAAGATTTACAGAATTCTATCATTTTAATTAATCAAAAGAAAAAGATAGTAATTTAAGGTAGTCCGATCCTCAGGTTTATAAAATTAGCAGTTCTGTTACGTAATCAAAAGTACTCATAAAAGTATCTCTGAATCCACAAAGTTATGTGAATTTATCCACATTATTTCTTTAAAGTTAAAAATTAAAGTTAATCATATTATATAGGGATAAATGTCAAATCTCCAATATTTTTTCAGAAAAAGCGAATTGGATTATCAGTAATGCATTTTCTAATTGGAAATTGATATACAAATATATTTTAGCTTTAAAAACGATGGGTATCCAAGCATTCAGAGAAATTGGCATGATTTTTATACTTATTTGGTATTTTTCGTCTTCTATTTCCGTCAAATATTCTTTAATACATAGTGTAAAAGGATTTTGCTATCATTGCAAGACACCACAGATCACTCTTTATATCATATCATGCTAATAAGCATTAGTATCTAAGGCTGGATTTAAGAAAATCTGATTTCTCTAAAACTGTATTAATTTTTTCCCTTTTATAGGGTATAAATGTCAACTTTTATAAAACCTTTTCTTAGACTTCCAAAAACCTTACATCTTATAAAGATGAATAAAATGAAAATTGTTGCATGAAAAAATTTAATTTTCAAACTTCATTTTGATGCATTTCAAATAGAATATTAATTTTTGGAGTTATCCTTCCTGGCTGAGGATCGGATATCCTTAACATTCATAAATTGTTTTTAAAAAGTGAATTTTTATAAATAAAATGTCTGCTTTTGATAGAGCTGAAATATGTACTTTAACTAACTCTCTTTTTACGGAAGCCCATTAGTGCCAACCTGTATATATAAAGGAAATGCGATATATAAAAGCAAACCTCTATATATAAAGGAAATGCGATATATATAAAGAAAACCTCGATCTATATAAAGGAAATGCGATATATATTAAGAAAATCTCGATATATATAAACGAAATGCGATATATATAAACAAAACTTCGATATATATAAAAAGAAATGCGATATATATAAACAAAACTTCGATATGTATAAAGAGAAAAATTTCCATCGCCTGACCTTTAACATGTTTAATGACCTTCATTACAACAGACTTCGCTAACATATGATAAGCAGCTCCCGGTCCAATGTTTTGATTGCAATCAGTTGATGTGGCTGTTTCAGGATGGTATTCATCAGCCTGTTTCCTTCATTTGTGTATCTTGATAATTATGACGATTAAAACTAAAGCTAAAAAAACCCTGCTGCTCTTCTTATCTTTCAGACGTGTTGGGCAGAATGACACCAATAAGAGACTTTTCTGCTTATAATGTATATTACTTAGCACTTAAAGTAGTGGGTATTTTTCAAAATATAATTCAGTGCAAAATACAAGTGTTTTATCATGTTTTATAAGTTCTTTAACGTTTTACTATGGTTTTTTTTTACATAATTTATGGAGAATTTCAAATCGAATTAATTTACGACGTGGGACAAAACTCCGCAGTTTAATTATGTAAGTGTGCTTGCACTAACTCGTTTTTTTTTATTTGTTCACAAATACTTTGATTTTTTTTCACAGCAAATGACCCTAAAATTATCACGGTTACATATACATGTCTCTTCCCTCATATTAAAATGAAGTGCATACCTCCATCTCTCCCATTCCGATTCTTTTTTTATATTGGCATACTAGTAAATTATTTTTATAATGAGTTTTTAATAAATTTGAATTAAGGCATTAAAAGAATTGTTAAGACTCCACGTTTAACATTATTTTCATTTATTCTCGGTTGTGAAACAAAAGGTAGTAAGTTTGGTAAAAACGAAATAAATAAATTAATAAATAAATAATAAAAAAAAAACAAAAACAAAAAAACAAGGTTGGGTTGTCAAAATTAACGAAGTGGATCAAAATATATGTAAATCAAATAAAAACACAGAAAATACGATGCATTTGTTACATTAAAAGTTTAAATCTAAAGTTTAAACTTATTTATAAAAATTATCAAGATAAGTTTAAACTTTAGATTTAATTTTCTAATGTAACACATATACTTATTTCATGAATGTATTTAATTAATCAATTCAATTGCTCTTCTTATTAATTTAAGTGCATTATTTTAAGTAATGTTACATTTACAGTTCATTGATATAGCATGTATAAACAAATAAACACTATTAAATAGAAACAATTTGCCGATTCTTGGAAAGTTATGCATGAGTACTGTATTACTGATTTCCCCCTGCCAGGGGTTAATCTGTATATAATCTTGATGGACAGCCGAGCGCTACAGTTCACGCAGTGGAAAATTTTCTCTTTTTATATATATCGCATTTCTCTTTATATATATATCGAAATTTTTTGTTTATATATATCGCATTTCCTTTATATATATTCGGGTTTCGTTTATATATATCGCATTTCCTTTATATATATCCAGGTTTTGTTTATATATATTGCATTTCCTTTATATATCGAGGTTTGCTTTTATATATCGCTTTTCCTTTATATATAGAGGTTGGCACTAATGGGCTTCCGTATCTTTTAGTTGGATTTTAAGAATTGAATTTCACAATTGACTTTGGAAATATTTGGCACCTTTTCGTCTTTTTGAAATTGGTTTTCAGGTCACCTATTGTTCACGTGAAAAATGAAGTAAGTGTCGATGTATTGTTCAAAATCAATATAGGCCTTTGTTTAGGGATGAAAGCCTTGCAGAGGACTTTCTATAATATTAATTGTTTACTCAATTATAATCTCGTCGGAAGCGGATGGGGGGATGGGGGGTCTAAGCCCAATGCACATTTTTCCCCCAAAGATAAACTTAGTATAGACATATTGAACATTGCTTCTTAGGTTAAGCCCCATGCACCCACCCCACCCCCTTTCCACAGACACGTTTGAGTATAGGTTTAAAATGGGAAAAGTGGTGGACTTTGGAAAAAAAACTTTTGGTACTGAAGTTTGAGCCTATTCCCGGAAATCGGAAGCAGGGTGGGGGTGGGGGGTGGGCTTAGCCCAATGCACTTTTTTTCCAAAGATAAACTTATTATAGACATTGAACATTGCTGCGTAGGATTAGCCCCCACCCCTTTCTACAGACACGTTGCAGTCTAGGTTTAAAATGGGGAAAAGGGTGGACTTTGAAAAAAAAAAACTTTTGGTACTAAAGTTTTAATTAACCCCCCCCCCCCCCCCCCCCCCCCCCCTCCCAAGGAAATAGGATTTACGTGTTAGGACAATGGACATTTTTTCTTGCTTGTCAGGATTTTTTGATTGTCTAAATTTTTTTTTACGCATAGCCCCCCCCCCTTTCAATTTGCTTCCGACGCCATGCAATGATTATTATGTCAGCAATTATCTATCATCAAAGGAACGTGACATGGCCACATCTGCATTGACAACGAATTCTAGCACTTAAAGATAAAAGATCAAATAACAAAATGCAATTTGATTGGTCATTTAATAAATTAATGGGAACTTTTACAATTAAGGGTACATATCCTCATCTTGGTCACTTTTCTATATGCAATAAAACCACACAGACGTCGTACACCTTCATTAATCTTTGTTATCATGATGAGATTCCTTGGAGTTAAGTCAAGACTCAATCTCGGCTTGTTTATATATTTTTTAAATGTCGTGTATAGCTGATTTCAATGCATATGATATTGTTAATAGATCTATACATGGTAAAAGATTCCAACTTAATTATTACAGCATACAATTATTAGCTTGTCACCGATCCACATCACCATGGATCACACAGATGATCAACGTCACATTTCTACGTGACAAACGTTGAACACCCTAACTACAAATCGACATTATAACTTTAATATTTCTTGTCTTTCTTATCTTTTTCTATATTTAAAAACAAGTACTTTGAATTCAATTCATTTTTCAATGGCAATTTAAATATTTCTTAGGTCCATACCATTTTTTTCCAGTGGGTGATATTTATAGCATGATAGAAAAAGACTCCAACCCCCTTATTGACGCCAACACAATTTATAAATTTACGATATATATGTAATATTGTAATACAATGTACCACATGAGTAAATTAACGGCATTTTTGGATGAAAATGCTAATATAAAAGTTTTTTTCTCAGTTACACCTAGGTGGAAAATACATAATCTTGTGCCGCCTTGACAAACCTTTGCTTTGAAAACATCAACTATTCATAAAAAAAAGATAATAATTGATGCATCGTTTTTTTTTAATAAAAAAGATGATGCTAATAAAAAAAAAAAAAACCCATCCTTTCTTTACATATTTTATTAGATATACACATGATGCATTCATTTACAGCAAACTTTTAACTCGAAGACTCCTTATTTGGATAATGAATTTTTTTTTTTAATTTTCTTTGGAAAAATACCATATATATATATATATATATATATATATATATATATATATATATATATATATATATATATAAAATAATTATAAGCTAAAATCGGCCTATCAATACTGAAACAATTGTTTAAAAAGAATTAATCAAAGAATAAAAAGTTGGCATGGCATCCCACCTTAAGCATGTTAAGCGCTTTTAATTTCATGGCGCTAGTCCACGAAATTTTGGAACAACCCTCGTATCAGGATGGAAATTGATAGTTTAGAAGAATACAAGATTTCAACTATAACATACCGACACTCTCGTATGACAGCTTTTGGCGAAGGTTAAGTTTTTCAGATATGCAAGTGGAACTAGCTCCAAAGAGCAATGCCAAAATAATAATAAAACAAACGTTTCACAGATAAAGAAAGGACTTGTCTCAGTGAACATATATCTCTAAAATACGAAAGTCCAGGCGCCATCCGTTCAAATCATTTTTTTTAATATTGGTCAAACTCCAAGGTCAAATGGTCAAACTTAAGGTACGCAGGGAGAGGTCCTGTCATAAGAAAAACAAGCATTCTGAGAGTATTGCATATTAATCAATACATGTCCCCTACGGATTCCCCTTTTCTCCAAACATACAAGCTCGTTTTGAACATGAATTTAGTGCGTCATGAATTCTATCGTAATCCCAATTATAAAAAAAAAACTATAATGATAAATGTGAAATATTACAGCCCTATCAGCTACTGTTCAAAAGATATATGTATGTCAAAGGATAACATTTTTAACAGAAGATCAAACACAAAAAGGAATGATCAATAGTTCAGAACTGTTAGTATCCAAAGTAAGACGTGGGAAATATGAGGGCCTTAATAAAAACTGACCAAGGTTAAAGTTTGGTAATGTTTTGCAAAAGTGGGTCAAAATCCAAGGTCAATTTTATTTATACCCAAAGGATGAATCTTGTCACAAAGAATACACATGTAAAGTAAGAAAGCCATAGCACCGATCAATGTTATGAGTAGGGAGAAATTTTTGCGGACAAGCAGAAATACAGAGAGACCGACAGGGCATAAACTCTGCTTTTCATAACAAGGGTCAAAAGGGTCAAATCTGAGTATGACAAAACCCTGTAAAGTACATTTATCAATGTGATTGAATTGGGGACAAAAGGCGGAATTAAGTGATCTCTGTTTGAAGTATGAAATTAATACCTTGCCAGTGACAGTAAATTTAAAAGATAAAATGTCTTTTCTTTCACAATGCCGCCAACTAGTTTTAAAAAATAGCACACAACAACAACATACACTGTATAATTTAAAAAATTATGACTGGTAATGCATCATAAAAGGTACATTAAAAAGCAGTTTAATTGGAGATAAACAAGAAAAACTATCAAATTGGATCTTCTTAACATCAAATACTTCAACATTAAGCTAAACTTGCACGTAGGTAACATAACATTCTTTTCTTTTTTTCTGGTCTACAAACGATTTATCATGCCAGGACCATTGTCCCACATTAATTATATAACGTAAACATAAAAGAGGTGCTGGACAATAAATAGGCATCTCAACAACGACAAATTTCCGAAGTATTTTAATAATCTGGACAAAATGTCAGAACTAAATAGTTAAGTTTGATAATAAAGAATTTTTTTTTGGAGAATTTTTCTATTATTATTGCAGGAGGGATGTAACTTTTAGAATTAGTATGAATTATAATATACCGGATAAACCTTAGTTTTAAAATTTACAACATGAGCTCCATTGGCTACATCGCTCACATACGCAAATTAGTATGGACCCCCCCCCCCCCCCCCAATGAAATTAGTTCAATATCTTGGAGGCAATATTTGTTCGAACTTGAAACTATACTGACTAAGGAAGACTACATTTTCCCTAACTAGTCGTAGATTTTTAAAGGAAATTTCCTACTTTTGTTCATTTGATCCCTGTTGTATTTATAATTTTACAAGAAAAATTTTCATCCGTTGTAAGTTAAACAAACATTGTGTCTTCGTCGTTGATATGCATTTTCTCATATTGTCATTTATTGGGCGCTTTCTAGGATACAGTTTCATAAAACTACGGCACTCTAACAACCAGGCTATGTTAATTTGTTTAGAACCATAAACACACATTATATAATTATACAACTACCTAGAACATCAGCACCAACATACATTCCATAGAACATACTTCAGTTATACCTGGTATACATGCAAGTTAAAAGACGAATAAGGTATTAAGACGTGAATATTTTAGCTCAGAAAGAAATACAAGGATCTATAATTCTCTGAATCTAACAATTTTCCGGTTAAGTTTTGTCATTTTATCTTCTGATTCCCAATTTAATAAATTTGAAATTCTTGAATGACAAATGATTTTGCACTCTTCTGGAAAAATATCTCAGAGATTATAGTTCTAAATATATACAAAAAAATTGACAGCAACTTGACTAATAGTGACTTAAAAGAATAGGAAAAATATACACGTGTGTTATTAAGAAATTTACAATACACAATGAACTTATTCCGTCCAAGAATTACACATTTGGTATGCTTTTATTGTAATTATTTTTGCATCCATTTATATTTTCCAATATCTCGTCAGCTCTTTTGTATTGATGAAATGCTGATCAATAACTGAATGAAAAGGACAAAGTATTTCTTGATCGTCTTTTGGAATATTTTCCTCTGATAGGAAATGACCTTTGATATCCATTGCAATTAGCTTTGTATCTTCCACCCGACATCTAAAGCCTCGTGCAAACCACAGCTTTTTGTGAAATTTTCCTGCAAAATTATTCAACATATTTTCTACCTTTTCTTGAATTTTTTGAGTTTTATCTCTTTCCAAAATACAACCTGGCTTTGGATGAAATATTTGAAGTTGTATAGATTCTTTTGTGACGGATAAAACAACAATATATCCATCAAATGAAAACAAAGCAGCATTCCTGTAGAGGCATGATGTTTCATTCGATTCTAGTACTTTCCAACCTTTTTCTTGCATACAAGCGACAACAAGACGGAAGAAGAAGAAAAAGGGTAGAAATTGAAATCGATAAACAAGAACTGATGATTTACTTTCCGATCGACGAATACGATCTGGGACAGCGGCCTCTACCTTCTTCCGGTTCATGCATGGAACATAGTGGAATTCCTCACCAACAGCCAGTAAACCAAGCCTCTGCATGAAATTAAGAAGTGATTCCTTATGATATCCAATAAATCTTTCGTCATGGTCGAATACGTTGGACACGTCGGATTCGTGGGATTCGTTGGATACGTCGGATTCGTCTGATTCATAGTCTTCCTCTAGTGTTTCATGTAATTCTTCGTCCTTACGTTTCCACATCATTTTAAGAAGATTGTTTTTTAATTTTCCAGTTTCGTAATATTCGTCCCAATCCTCCTCGTTTCCAGGAATACCAGTAAAATGTAGTTTGTCTGTGATTATATGTTTGAAGGCGTCAATAAACCATTGCACGTCAATAATCACTTCCTTTTTCAGACCATCTTCATCAAAATGCAAAACTTTCCCAGCATCATGGTAATATCGTAGCATATCTAGTTTTCCTTTTGATTCTTCGTTTGATTTTTTCTGAGAATAAACAGTAGTCTCAGGAACTTCTGTTGTTATTTTAGAGATTTCAATAATTCGTTTAGAATATTTCTTCTGGTTGATTTCTATTTGAAAGAAAAGCCATTCTTTTGGAATACTTTCTTTCCATCGATAATGACAAGCAATATTGTAGAAGCTTCTTTCTAAATCATCAAGAGGTTCAGATAGCTGTATACAATGGAATCTATCTTGTCTGATGTACTGTGATAAATTAGATGACTTAGGAAGCTGGTCTCGCAGACTGTCCATAAGATCATCCTTGTCCTGTAATTATAAAACCTGGTTACTGCTAATACGTATATGAATGATTATCTCCGGTCTTTTTCGACGAAAATTATCAGCCGCCCAGTAATGTTGTATTATGACTTTTTTAAAAAACTTCTCTGAATATAAAAGCCATACAAGTAGTACAATTTAAAGCTTTTAGCATAATAATTGCAAAATAACAAGGAATGTACTGTAATTTCTATGTTGAAAGCTATCTTACAGGGTATTATCAAATGAATAATTAAATCATACTTGGTTGATAAGCCCTATTATTTCCTACCTTGCTTGTAAAACAAGTTTTGATTGGTTACAGTCGGGTGTAAATTTCCGTACACCCGACTTCAGCCGGAGGTAAATAAAACGTGATGTCACGATGCATACTTTCTCTATGATAAAAACCAAATAATGTGACATCATGATTCATTGTAGTACGTAATTATCTTACACATAGATTGAGACACAGTTGATCAAACTAGGGTGTTTTCAAAAAATTGGTCTGGGTTCATAGGAAATAAATTTGTTTTCCAGATCCAATCAAGGGTGTACGGGGTATTTACCCTGGGTTGTGTTCCATACGCCCTAAGATCCTTCAGTATGCTCACCTTAAACTGTCTGAGTCCTTCTTCCCAATGGGTTGCTACTATAAGTACTGTAGGCTTTAGGTCGTTTTCATTGTCTGAGCCACAGTAAGTATGTATAGACTTCATCCAGAATACAAAGTAGTCTGAAATAAATAAATGTCAATATTAGTGTTGGCAAATCTGACAATTTTTAGTAACCGGTTACTTGCTTCATCTTCCGATCAAGTAATTGCATTGGTTACTCGGATGATTTTTAGTAAAATTATCAATATCTACTAGTCTATTTATCTTCTTAGTTGCTTAACGGTAATAGAAATACACAAATATACTGTATATATATTACATTATATTTACAATTCACACATACACTATCGTCAAAAAATTTTGATTCTAGATTTAAGAAAATAAGGAATTTGACACATGAAGAATGACATTAAATGCATCATCAATCACCATTTTACAATTGCTTTGGTTATGTTCTCCTTTTCAGCCCCCAAAATATGTTGTAATCGAGGAGGATAACTATTTACATACTCCGTAATTAATAGTAAATTTGTGGAGTGTTCAGTTTATTGCTGGTTTCCAAATGATATTTAAGCTTTAGTGATTTACCATGCAGATTTTGAATCAAAGAATGACTCTTCATAACATTGCGATCTGGCCCCTTTTTAAACACGGATTTTTGCCTTTTCAAATCAAAACATCCGACATATTTTATGTAAAATGTACAAGTATGGTATGAATACAAACACTTCAAAATCTTTTTTGATAGAGGGACTTTCAATTTATACATAATATCAATGAAATAAAATTGCATACATCAGTGCCAAATCTCAACTTCGCTATTGCGGCTATGTAGGTCATTGTATTATTTGAATAAGGAGGCGGAGCGTCAATCAAGCGTGCGAATAGTGTGAATATATTATCGAGTGTTCGACGTGTACCTAATATAGTTTTTATTAAGTAATATCTTATTAAATAACTAAACAACCTTAAAAACCCTTCAACTTTTCTTCGGTCTTGGGACCGACAATATGTAATAATTATATGGCAGGTTTAGGTTTTGTTTTTACTGCTTAGCTTTTAAACGAGTATATCAATGAAATAATTATTTTTGAAATTCGTTGAAATAAAATGTAAACACAATGATATGGTTTCTGTAAACATAATGTCTTACATAAGATGGTATTTTTAGGACTAGGAAAGTATATTTTTAAGATTTTACAGTAACTTAGCTTATTTCTCAAGGGATAATTATTTTAATTCTAAAGCGATAATAATTTCATTAAAGTTTTTTTACACGTAGAATTGATTATCAAAAGCATATAATTTTGTAAAAATTCTGAGTGTTCCAACAAATATATGTATGCGGTTGAATATTGATAGCCATGCAGGATAATGTTGATCTTTAATCATGCGTTCATTGGACAAGTGAGAGGGGCATACACGTGCTTTTTCGTGCAATATAACATTATGTTTAAGAAATATCTGTGCGCAGGCTTTCTTAGAAACAGTTTTCATAGACTTTTTACGGGATCTGCAAATAGCACAATATTTGTGTGACTTTGTGCAGATATAAGATGTTTTAACGTCAACATTGCCCCCATAAGTCTGAAGCTTCCCTCTATTCATATCGAGGGTGCATTTTGTGCAGATGTGGTTATCCTCCCGTAATACGCGCTAATTCAGTCCTCCGTACTTCGTTTATCTTTCCCTTGAGGGTTCTTCAATTAGATTTATTTGTGCGCTTTTTACAAACAACACAGTTTATACTTTTAGGCATGGTGAATACTAGTAAGTGTTTTCCGATTATAACAGTGTATAATGAAGGTTTTAACAGAAAAAAGGACTATAACTTTTAATATCTTCCAGCAGTTTAAGTGAGAGTTTTCTTGAAACAGACGCACATGTATAATACATATACACAGTAAAAAGCGGAATCAACGATACCTAAAGAGAATTTTTAATTATGTTTTATAAATATATGCAGAGATTGACTAACTAACAGATGTAGGCTATAGCCCCCCCCCCCCCCCCCCCCCCCCCCCCCCCCCCGAAGTAGATCGATAAATACTTACCGAAAGAAAAAAAAACGGAAATTGGCAAAAATAACGTTCAATAACAGGTAAATAAAACAATTCAACCTTGCATATAGATAAAATAAAATCAAGTATGCACTTTTCCAAAATACACTGTACATGTATTTTCAAATAGAAGGGTTGTCCAAGTATTTTTACTATAGCCGATGGAATAAGATTTGACAATGGATAGTTTGCAGACACTCTAGACACGATGTCGAAATGGTGTGCTCAAAGCGTGAAAGTGAATAGATTTAAATAGGCTTACAAAATGGGGGTGTGGCCTAAAGTCTATGAGAAATTGATGTAAACAATGTACCCCTGCTATATTAATCAGAACAAGAGGCCCATGGGCCACATCGCTCACCTGAGAAGCTTTGACAATTCTGTACTTTACTAGATTTACCCTTTGTAATACATATTGTGACCCAACCCTACCCAACTGATCATAATTAAGACAATTTGAAATCTACACTACCCCAGGATGCTTCCATATAAGTTTCAGCTTTTCTGGCCCAGTTGTTATTAAGAAGAAGATTTTCAAAGCCTTTTCCTATATATTTCTATGTAAAACTTTAAATTCCCCATTGTGTTCCCGCCCAATCCCCAGGGGTCATGATTTGAACAATTTAAAATCTACACTACCCCAGGATGCTTCCCCATAAGTTTCAGCTTTTCTGGCACAGTGGTTCTTGAGAAGAAGATTTTCAAAGATGTTTCCTATATATTTCTATGTAAAACTTTGATTCCCCATTGTGGCCCCGCCCAATCCCCGGGGGTTATGATTTGAACAATTTAGAATCTACACTATCCCAGGATGCTTCCACATAAGTTTCAGCTTTTCTGGCACAGTGGTTCTTGAGAAGAAGATTTTCAAAGATTTTTCCCATATATTTCTATGTAAAACTTTGATTCCCCACTGTGGCCCCGCCCAACCCACAGGGGTCATGATTTTAACAATTTAAAATCTACACTATCCCAGGATGCTTCCACATAAGTTTCAGCTTTTCTGGCACAGTGGTTCTTGAGAAGAAGATTTTCAAAGATGTTTCCTATATATTTCTATGTAAAACTTTGATTCCCCATTGTGGCCCCGCCCAATCCCCGGGGGTTATGATTTGGACAATTTAGAATCTACACTATCCCAGAATGCTTCCACATAAGTTCCAGCTTTTCTGGCACAGTGGTTCTTGAGAAGAAGATTTTCAAAGATTTTTCCGATATATTTCTATGTAAAACTTTGATTCCCCATTGTGGCCCCGCCCAATCCCAGGGGGTCATGATTTGAACAATTTAGAATCTACACTACCCCAGGATGCTTCCACATAAGTTTCAGCTTTTCTGGCTCAGTGGTTCTTGAGAAGAAGATTTTCAAAGATGTTTCCTATAAATTTCTATGTAAAACTTTGATTCCCCATTGTGGCCCCGCCCAATCCCCGGGGGTTATGATTTGAACAATTTAGAATCTTCACTATCCCAGGATGCTTTCTCATAAGTTTCAGCTTTTCTGGCACAGTGGTTCTTGAGAAGAAGATTTTCAAAGATGTTTCCTATATATTTCTATGTAAAACTTTGATTCCCCATTGTGGCCCCGCCCAATCCCCGGGGGTCATGATTTGAACAATTTAGAATCTACACTATCCCAGGATGCTTCCACATAAGTTTCAGCTTTTCTGGCACAGTTGTTCTTGAGAAGAAGATTTTCAAAGATTTTTCCTATATATTTCTATGTAAAACTTTGATTCCCCATTGTGGCCCCGCCCAATCCCCGGGGGTCATGATTTGAACAATTTAGAATCTACACTATCCCAGGATGCTTCCACATAAGTTTCAGCTTTTCTGGCACAGTGGTTCTTGAGAAGAAGATTTTCAAAGATGTTTCCTATATATTTCTATGTAAAACTTTGATTCCCCATTGTGGCCCCACCCAATCCCTGGGGGTCATGATTTGAACAATTTAGAATCTACACTATCCCAGGATGCTTCCACATAAGTTTCAGCTTTTCTGGCACAGTGGTTCTTGAGAAGAAGATTTTCAAAGATTTTTCCTATATATTTCTATGTAAAACTTTGATTCCCCATTGTGTCCCCGCCTAATCCCCGGGGGTCATGATTTGAACAATTTAGAATCTACACTACCCCAGGATGCTTCCACATAAGTTTCAGCTTTTCTGGCTCAGTGGTTCTTGAGAAGAAGATTTTTTAATGACCCTACCCTATTTTTTGTCTTTTCTTAATTATCTCCCCTTGCGAGGGGATATGTCCCTTCATTTTAACAATTTAAATTCCCCTTCACCCAAGGATGCTTTGTACCAAGTTTGGTCAAAATTGGCCCAGTGGTTCTTGAGAAGAAGTCGAAAATGTGAAAAGTTTACGGACGGACAGACGGACGGACAGACAGACGGACGGACGGACGACGGACACAATGTGATCAGAAAAGCTCACTTGAGCCTTCGGCTCAGGTGAGCTAAAAATACCTAATTACAGTTTATGAAAGCAAATTTTTAAATTGAAATTAATAAACTACAATGTTTAATGGAAAGATTGGGGCAAAATTATGTAGAAAATCTTAAAGTTATTTTTTTGTAAATATTTGGGGGGCCAAATGTGGACGTTTAAACGATTCATTCTTTTGTTCTTTTATTACAACCCCAGTCTTAATATGTCTGTGGCGGCATCTCATTTTCTCTGTATTTTACTTTGTAGAATTTATCTTATTTGAGTATCCGAACTGTAGTTTTAATAACCAATACTTGTTTCGTTCGACAATTAACCGGCTAAGCGGGTACTCGTTGCCAACATTTGTTTTCTTTAACATGTTTAAAGAATTGGTTTGTGTATTTTTTTCATCATGAAATCCGACTTATAGTGCCGAGTGTACATGTATATGACGCAGATCTAATTAGACATCAGGTTTAATTAGACTTAGTTTCCTCTCTGACTGTCTATGTGTATCTTCCTCTTGAAAAAAGTGACTGTTTGAATGCTTATGAATGATAAAATTACCCTTGGAAATTTTTTGACAAAAACGAAAAATACAAAAAAGTATTATGAAGAGATATAATATTCTTACCTCCATATGTCCAACCAGAGAACACACTCCCATCTTGATCGCACACTTCCTTATCCACCTTCTGGTCAAGATTTTTAGAGGCGTCCACCACCACAACATAGAAAGCTCTCCTGGTCAGGTAAATCTGGTGACAGGCGTAGTACGCACACTGGCCCCCAAAGTCAAAGAACGTCAAGGTCTTTCCATCCAATCTTTTAGTATGATTTTCAACATTGTTTTGGTCTTTGTATTTTCCTCTGGCTGAAAAAAGTGATCATGAAATATTGCATTGAACATTGCTGATGGAATAAAAACCAGAAGTCTCTGTCGAGACTGTAGCTCTACTGGTTTATACTTAAAACAAAGGAAGAGAAAAATAGCAGTTGGGAAACTTTAAAACAGCAATAAATAGAATCAAAGTCCTGAAGGGCCTGCGAGTTGACTTGCTTTAGTTAATTTAGCTTTTTCATACATCTGGACACCACACCTTATACATGTATTCAGTTTATTTTGCATCTTAAGAGATTGAATATTATATGTCTCCAAAATCAGTTAAAAAATAAAGTGTTTTTATAGCTTTTACTTTATATATAGAGGTTGGCACTAATGTGCTTCCGTACATATTGTGAAAAGCAGAACAGCAAGCCTAGATTCTATCATGAATTTAAGCACACTAGCTGCAGTGGTCAGTGTCATTAGTAATTAGTTTAAAGATTCCCACAGCAAATCTGGATTTTAAAAATAGATTTTTCAAGCACACTAGCTGCAGCTAATGAGAGCAGCAGGTGTTTGTGTTAGGAAGTATTTTAGGTCAATTATAAATAAGCTTCAGATGGGAAGATTAGATCCGCCTAACACACATGAACATATATTCATACGCAGTAATTGTACATCGTACAGATATTTAATCAAAAATTTCTTTAAAAGCTTGAAGACATAAATAATACAACAGTATGAAATTTTATAAAGTTTTCACCTCCTAAGTTTATACAATCACTCGAACAAAAGCATTTTTTACTAGAACTATCATATTTGGCGGATGGATCACTTTGATAAATGCGTGATAAATTTTACAGCTCTGAAACCGCTGTGTCAACAGGGAGTAGCTCGCTAAATGATCATTGCTGCTAATTAAAATAAAAACAAATGCACAGAACTTTATATCTTATTATAGTTTACTTGTGTGTCATTGAAATCAGACCAAAACTGTAGGAGGAGTAGCATTTTGAAAGCATTTCACAGAAATTTCTATTTTAAGTAACCACAGCAACACCGTTCATCGAAATAAACAAGAAGCCCATGGGCCACATCGCTCACCTGAGTAACTTTGGTGATGCAGTTCTTTAGCAGATTTCCCCTCTTGCTATACCTATCGTACCCCTACCCACTTCCCTTGTATGATTTTAATATTTTAGAATCTACACTACCCCAGGATGCTTCCAGAAAAGTTTTAGCTTTCCTGGCCCAGTAGTTCTTGAGAAGAAGATTTTTAAAGATTTGTTCTATATATTTCTATGTAAATTTGGATTCCCTATTGTGGCCCCGCCCTACCCCCGGGGGTCATGATTTTAACAATTTAATATCTACACTACCCAAGGATGCTTCCACATAAGTTTCAGCTTTCCTGGCCCTGTGGTTCTTGAGAAGAAGATTTTTAAAGATTAGTTCTATATATTTTTCTATGTAAAACTTGGATTCCCTATTGTGGCCCCGCCCTACCCCCGGGGGTCATGATTTTCATAATTTAATATCTACACTACCCAAGGATGCTTCCACATTAGTTTCAGCTTTCCTGGCCCAGTGGTTCTTGAAAGGATGCTTTGTACCAAGTTTAGTTAAATTTGGTCCATTGGTTCTTAAGAAGAAGTCGAAAAATGTGAAAAGTTTACAGACGGACAGAGGGAAGGACGGACGACGGACAAAATGTGATCAGAAAAGCTCACTTGAACCTTCGGCTCAGGAGAGCTAAAAACCGATGCATAGAATTATGTATCCTATTGAAATATACTTGTGTGCAAAGTTATATTGAAATCGGACCAAAACTGTAGGAGGAGTAGCATTTTGAAAGCATTTCACAGAAATTTCTATTTTTAATAACCATGGCAACATCGTTCATCGAAATCAAAAAACGATGCACAGAAGTATGTATCTTAGTGTAGTCTACTTGTGTACCATGTTATATTGAAATCAAACCAAAACTGTAGGAGGAGTAGCATTTTACAAAATTGTTTACAGACAGACGCACGGACAGACAGCTAGATGGACGACAGATGCATTACTATCTCATAAGCTGTTCTGGTCTCTGACAAGTAGAGCTAAAAACATAGGTAATCAGAGATAAAACTGACTTAAACACAAATGGATAAAAATGAGGTCAAGGTCAAATGGAAGGTCAAGGTCAGAATTGTTGATGCAGTTGAATTGCTTACATCAGTATGTATCGGCATAGCATATGAAGTTTGATACTGATTTAGGAAAAATGAGGTCAAGGTCAAAGTAAAGGTCAATGTCAAAATGTTGATGCAGTTGCATATCTCTCATCAATATGTATCAACATATGAAGTTTGAAAAAAAAATATATAATTATTGTTTTAATTAAAACTGACTTAAACACAATTTGATAAAAGTGAGGTCAAGGTCAAATAAAAGGTTGAGGTCAAATTTGTTGATGCAGTTTAACTGCTTACATCAGTATCTATCAGCATCATATGAAGTTTGACACTGATTAAAGAAAAGTGAGGTCAAGGTCAAAGGCAAAGTCAAGGTCAAAAATGTTAATGCATACTTTATTAATATTTGTACATCTGCAATACAGGATAACACACTATTAGAGCCCTTATGGTACAATGAAAGAATAACAAGAGGCCCATGGGCCACATCACTCACCTGAGCACTAAGGGTAGGAAAAAGTAGAAAATGACTTTGTAATGTAAAGTTTAAATCAAAAAGTAGTCCCATGACCAATCATGGATTTGCTATTTTTTAGAAAAATTAATGATTTTTAAAGAATTTTCCTATACATATCTTTAAAAACGTTGGTCAGCCATTTTGGCCCCGTCGTACCCAAGGGGGTCATGATTTGAACAATCTTGAATCTACACTACCTGAGCATGCTTTCATATAAATATGATAAATTATGGCTTTGTCATTCTTGAGAAGAAGAGTTTAAAAGAATTTTCCTATATATTTCTATGTAAAACTTTGGTCGGCCATTTTGGCCCCGCCCTACCCCCGGGGGTCATGATTTGAACAAATTTGAATTTACACTACCTGAGCATGCTATCATATAAATATGATGAATTATGGCTTTGTCATTCTTGAGAAGAAGAGTTTAAAAGAATTTTCTTATATATTTCTATGTAAAACTTTGGTCGGCCATTTTGGCCCCGCCCTACCCCCGGGGGGTCATGATTTGAACAAAATTGAATCTACACTACCTGAGCATGCTTCCATATAAATATAATGAATTATAGCTTTGTCATTCTTGACAAGATTTTTATAGAATTTTCCTATATAATTCAATGTAAAACTTTGGTCGGCCATTTTGGCACCGCCCTACCCCCGGGGGGTCATGATTTGAACAAAATTGAATCTACACTACCTGAGCATGCTATCATATAAATATGATGAATTATGGCTTTGTCATTCTTGAGAAGAAGATTTTAAAAGAATTTTCCTATATATTACTATGTAAAACTTTGGTCGGCCATTTTGGCCCTGCCCTACCCCCGGGGGTCATGATTTGAACAAACTTGAATCTACACTATCTGAGCATGCTTCCATATAAATATGATGAAATAATGCTTTGTCATTCTTGAAAAGAACTCTTTTTAAAGAATTTTCCTATATATTTCTATGTAAAAATTTGGTCGGCCATTTTGGCCCCGCCCTACCCCTGGGGGTCATGATTTGAACAAAATTGAATCTACATTACCTGAGCATGCTATCATATAAATATGATGAATTATGGCTTTGTCATTCTTGAGAAGAAGAGTTTAAAAGAATTTTCCTATATACATGTATTTCTATGTAAAACTTTGGTCGGCCATTTTGGCCCCGCCCTACCCCCGGGGGTCATGATTTGAACAAATTTGAATCTACACTACCTGAGCATGCTTCCATATAAATATAATGAATTATAGCTTTGTCATTCTTGAGAAGATTTTTATAGAATTTTCCTATATAATTCAATGTAAAACTTTGGTTGGCCATTTTGGCCCCGCCCTACCCCCGGGGGGTCATGATTTGAACAAAATTGAATCTAAACTACTTGAGCATGCTTCCATATAAATATGATGAATTATGGCTTTGCCATTATTGAGAAGAAGATTTTAAGAGATTTTTCCTATATATTTCTATGTAAAACTTTGGTCGGCCATTTTGGCCCTGCCCTACCCCTGGGGGTCATGATTTGAACAAACTTGAATCCACTATCTGAGCATGCTTCCATATAAATATGATGATTAATGCTTTGTCATTCTTGAGAACTTTTTTAAAGAATTTTCTATATATTTCTATGTAAAAATTTGGTCGGCCATTTTGGCCCCGCCCTACCCCTGGGGGTCATGATTTGAACAAAATTGAATCTACATGACCTGAGCATGCTTCCATATAAATATGATGAATTATGGCTTTGTCATTCTTGAGAAGAAGATTTTTACAGAATTTTTCTATATATTTCTATGTAAAACTTTGGTTGGCCATTTTAGCCCCGCCCTACTTGATTCTACACTACCTGAGGATGTTTCCCCATAAGTTTCATCTTTCCTGGCACAGTGGTTCTTGAGAAGAAGATTTTTTAAATATGCCATCAAATTGTCATTAATTCCCAATTATCTCCCCTTGAATGAGGCCGTGGCCCTTCATTTGAACAAACCTGAATCCCCTTCACCCAAGGATACTTTGTGGCAAGTTTGGTTGAAATTGGCCGAGTGGTCTTGAGAAGAAGTCGAAAATGTGAAAAGTTTACAGACAGACAGACGGACGCGGGACATAATGTGATCAGAAAAGCTCACCTGAGCTTTCAGCTCAGGTGAGCTAAAAATAAAAAACCAAAGTGTTTTTTTGTTGGGAATAAATATTTATATAGAAAAGGATTCATATAGTTTCTGACTTGCTCATTAGTCAGGGAACTTGTATTTCTTATGATAGATTAAAGATTATTTCAATGTAAAAATGTCCTTTACCATATATGAAGGTCTTAAGCATGCTATTTTATGTGCAATGCCAAAAGTAAAACACTTGGATTAAGTAAGAAAACC